ATAAACACATGTCATCGACATGTAAATCGAAGCTGTAGATCTACTGTCATCCTGTCTGCATCACTGCAAGCTGGCGACATAGAATCAATCCCTTCTCTGTGTGTGCCATTTTGCCGAACCGCATGCAAACTTGTGATCAGGGGTTGAAGTGAACCCAAAGTTAGAACAATGTATGTGTGCGTGATGAATGATCCAACAGTGAAGCTTTAGATAAATCGCTGGCTGGGCCATGGCTGTCTGTCTGTTGACTGTGTTCTTTCCATGGTGGTTTACCTGCTGGCTATTATGCACCACTCGAGGATGTCCCTTGCAAGGAATCTCATCTCCTCTGTGAACAAAAGCTTCTTCACCAGTGCTTCTTCGTCTTCTTTTTGTGCCCTGTGCCAATCATATCTAATGGATCCATCATCTCTAATCCTCATGTTTTGCATCTGATCTTATCAGTCAACATCAGGAAACACAAAAGTCAGAACTCTTGGGCTGTTGCAGCCTAACTTGGCCACAACCTTAAAGCTCATAGCTTAAGGCAACCAAATCCAACGCATTCAGTGCATCATTCATTATCCAAGTGGCCTCAAATACAAAATCCTCTTTCCAGTCTCTGTGACTCTGTGACTCTGTGGACTCTGTTGTCTCTAAACCCAACTCGCCCACTGTTCAAGGAATTAATTAGCACCAAAAAAGAGCAGTTCTCGAGGAGCCTTCCCAACCTTCAAATCTACTTCTTTTGTTCCTTTCCATGGCCCCCTCTCCCGTTCTTTCCATTCTTCTCCTATAGCCTCCCATGGCCAGCCAAGAAAGGGAAGAACAGAATATATAACGAGCAAGTTATGATTCCCACGTCCCACCGCTTCAAATCCTTCCTTCAATCCAACTCCTCCTCAAAAATAATCCCCCCGCCCCCCTCCCCTCCCTTCTCTCAGATCCGTCCCTTTCTCCAAGCTGGAGGAGGTGAATTAGAAGTGCCTAGAAATCCAATCTGCTTCCGGTCATTGTTCTAAAGATTCGATTTTTGGCTTGCCATTGCTCTCGAAAATCCAATCCTTGTTACTTATTTTCTTTTTAATTCTGGAATTTGTATTTGGCCCACCCCCCACATCCTCCTCTTCGGCTTCCATAATACCAAGCCATGGCTGAAGTGCTCCGGTCCCCATCGCATTTCCCTTCGTCTCCAAGACGCGCCCTTTCTTGCGACCCGAATGATGGCTCCATTGGGCTTTTAAGCCCTTCCAACAGCTGCGGAGAGGGCGAGGAGGAGGAGGGGAGGCGTGGTGGTGCTGGTGGCGCCTCAGAGAGGAAGAGGGGAAGGAGTCGGAGGGGAGGAGGAGGAGCCGAGGTCGAGCCCGTGGGGGAAGAAGAGGAGGAGGAAGAGGAAGAGGAACAACAACAGCTGTCTGTGTTGGCGTTGCTGCTGACGGTGTTCCGGAAGTCGCTGCTGGGGTGCAAGACGGACGGCGCCGGCGAAGAGGACTTCGGCTCGATGGATATCGGGTGGCCCACCGACGTGCGGCACGTCGCCCACGTCACCTTCGACCGCTTCCACGGATTCCTCGGGCTGCCCGTGGAGTTCGAGCCGGAGGTTCCCCGCAGAGCCCCCAGCGCAAGGTCTGCTCTTTCCTTGTTCTTCTGCTGAGATTGTGCTTCTTTTCTTGGCCCAAAAAAATGCGACCTTTTGGTTGTTTTCTTGCGTTATGAACAATTTATGAGCTTTAGAAATAGTTAGCAACTTTCCTACTGTTGTAGAATAATACATGTGGAAATTTGCTTTGATCTGCTGCTCTTTTCCTTTTTATAGGAAGATCTTTAGATCATCATAATTTAAATTGGGTCTTTGTCTCCAAAGAAAATAATTGCTTTTATTGTGTTATGAACAACTATACTATGCTTTGGGGTTGAGAACATCTCCCGTTGTCAGAAGTAGGAGGACATTTGGACGCCAGTATCTTGGGGTAATTCTCAAGTGGGTATGAAATATATAGGATCCAATGAAGTTATTTTGACTTTATGTCTGATTACTATGTTGATGATCAACAATATTATGCTCTCTGTTCATCACTTCATCTACAAATCTACATGCTTTTACTAATCTGATGCCATAGAAAACACGAGCACCAGTTTTGTTTCTCATCACCTATCAGTCATACCTATCGGTCATTTGGTAGGTTCATTGTTTGGATTACGAGCTCTCTTGTAACTTCTTTGCATACTATTTTGGTCCATCATTGTCAGTTCCAGCTTTCAACTTTTGTAACCTAGTTCAAGATTCTTTTATCACCATTCTTGGGTTAAGTCTTCACCTTTTGTGACCGTTCACCAGGAAATTTCAGCTCCTCTTAGTCATTTGCTCCAAGGAGAACTAACGATTTCTTCTTGAATTAATTTCTATATTTTCACACTGACTTGTTCATCCAGAAAGCTATGATGTCATATCGCTTACGTCTATGACCATATCTGATGTTAGTCTATCTTCAAATGTGATCTTTCTGAATTAAAAATTGTGTACCCATAAACAAACATCTGTTGACGGTAAGAACTACAAATATCCCTTAAACATATAGGAAACAAAAGAATCTACAAGTTCATATACTTCAACTATGTGATGAACCTATCTAGTAAGAGCATCGAAATATCGACACTACTCGAAGTGAAAAGTTACTGTTTAATTGGTCATGTCAGGTTGTTGCTGATTCATACCATCATGCCATTTGCATGTGTTGTGAAGATGTCAAAACTGGTTGAAAGAACTTAGCCCCATTGATCTTTGTACAAGTCACATGATAAGTCACCCAGATTGAATGTATGACAACGAAGCATCTGTTGACAAAACCTGAAAAACTCATTCGAATAAAATCCTGTTTGTGGTGCATCTCATTCGAATAAAATCCTGTTTAAAGAACTATGATGGCAACACTCTATATTTTGTAATCCATGTCAATTTCAGTCGTGTGTCACATGCACTGAGAGCCGTTTGTGGTGCATGTTATCTGAAATTATTGGTGTTCACAATTTAAACATAGAAAGAAATAATGGTGTGAATTACAACTCATCATGTAATTTCTCTTTCGTCCTTAATATTTATGTGATTAATAATATAGAGAAAAGGTGGATCAAATTTTTTGTTGATCATTTGTACTTTGGCGCATCTTTCATTCTGTTGTGTGGAGTATGATTATGGATCCATGTACAGTCCAAACCTAAAATGATGATCACGTTGCAAAACACATGCAACACACCGAGTTCAGAGGGCAAGTGTTTGAACCATAATGGGTCCTGTGGATGCATATAAATTACAAAGGGATTAAGACTGTCCGACATCATTACGTTTCAAAGGAAAATCCTAAGATCTTACATGTATTAGGGATTTGTCACAGGAATGGTTGAAAGTAATTCGTTCCTCGGAACTTTAAGAGACATCCATAAAGAATTTTAGCTCATAATATTGTTGTTGTTCAAGGTTCTACGAGTTTGAATATTTCTGTTCATGTGTTTATCCTTGCTTCTTATTCTTGTCGTCATGTTAGCTTTTGTCCATTCTCTATAACAAGCTAACTCAATCCATGAATTCTACTGCAGTGCAACTGTCTTTGGTGTTTCTACTGAATCTATGCAGTGTTCATATGATGCTAGAGGCAATAGTGTTCCAACCATCCTTTTGCTGATGCAAAGACGTCTTTATGAGCAAGGCGGCCTTCGGGTATAATTGCTTATTCTAATTAGTCATTGTAATACTTCTCTGAGCCTGAAACTTGATCTCAATGAAACTATGCAGTCAGAAGGAATTTTCAGAATCAACGCTGATAATAGCCAAGAGGAATATGTCAGAGACCAGCTAAACAATGGAATAGTGCCCGAGGGTATTGATGTGCATTGTCTGGCAGGTCTAATAAAGGTATACCTACAAACTTTCCCTATGCCTTTCCTACTCAACCATTGCATGGTCTCTCTGTGCTGCATACGTTGCATTGTTGTCTACTTGCTAATCTGATGCAAGTTTTGAAAAGACAAAAATACATCTGATCTGGATTTATAGATCTAGAGGCAACATCATTTTGTTTAAAAATGAAATAGCGGCAAAAGTCGTCCTTGCTAGTTCAATTGACGTTTTCTGTATCACTATATCATTCCTTCTTTCTGATAGATACTTGATTTTGGATTAACAAATATACGTCGCGAACATTCTTTTCCAAATAAACTGATCTTCCTCAAAATTTCATATTGCTTAATTCCACATTTTCTTTTCTCTGTTGCTTCTGTAGGCCTGGTTTAGAGAACTTCCTACTGGAGTGCTCGACACTCTTTCAGCAGAGCAGGTGATGCAGTGCCAAACAGAAGAGGATTGTGCTCGGCTTGCTAGGTTGCTGCCTACAACAGAGGCTGCTCTATTGGATTGGGCTATCAATTTGATGGCCGATGTTGTCCAAGAAGAACAAGAAAACAAGATGAATGCACGCAATATTGCCACGGTGTTTGCTCCAAACATGACTCAGGTAATTAATGGTAAATGCATTTTTTTTTCAGAAAAAAGAAAAATCTATTGAGATCTCATAGCTCTACCAAATGACTTTTGCAAGTCATTTTGGAGAGTTCAAGACAAGTCTGGAGGAATGGTAAATGCATTTCACTTTCAACCACTTGTTCTTTCAGTTGCTTTAGAGCCCAAGTAGCAGGATTCCCCCCTTTCCCTACTTTTCGTGATTGCTTTTCATGCGCAAAACATATTTTCTGCTTCCCACAGGCTGCAAACTGAAACTTGTACATTTGTTTATCATAATTCTAGATGGCAGATCCTTTGACAGCGTTGATGTATGCGGTGCAAGTGATGAATTTTCTTCGGATGCTGATCTTGAAGACACTAAAAGACAGACAAGAACCCACTTTAGAGGATGCTTCGGTTTCTAATACAGATCCATCTGATGACAATGGTCATGACAGCCCTCAGATTCATCTTGCGACCGGTCGTGATGAAGCAACTGAGCAAGTACATGTCACCCATGAACCTGTTCTGGATAGTCTCGCTCAAATTCCTGAAGAAAAATCTGCAGAAGATGAGGCAGCCGATAGTCCTCAGCCCTCACACGACGATACTACCTCTCGAGGAGCTGCATTGCATCTGACTACCGAAAACTCTGCAGAGAATTCAGCACCATCTGGTGGTTCTTCATCTAGAGGCCAGGAGTTCGCTGCTAACGATCACAATTCAGTTCATTCAAACTGTCGTAGGAAGAAGACAGGCCGGTTGAATAGCCAGAATCACAGGAAAGGGAGAAAGGCAAAGGCACAGACTGCCAGCCGAGCTTCCTTGCCAGCTGAGAAGTCAAAGGTGGAGCGTATCGTGAGTCGTATCGACTCAAAGGTCGAGCGTGTCGAGGCATGGCGGTGAAGCCATTCTTTCCTCTTCTTTTCGTTGTCTAACTTGTATGTGATGGTAGGCTTTGGGCATTGTGGATTTGCTATGGATGTTTGTGTTTGTATTTGGGGGATCTGCTGATAACTTGGAAGTTTGATTGCAAAGAGACAAGACTTTGTGTATGATTTCAAGCATATTGGATTATGACTTAGCCTTGAATCAAACAACATGACCACATCTACAGTTGCTTGATGGAGTAATTGTCGTGGCTGATGCATGAACAGAAATCATGTGACAAAGGAGGGGGTAATGACAAAATGCATATACATCCTCTCTCTCTCTCTCTCTCTCTCTCTCTCTCTCTCTCTATATATATATATATATATATATATATATAATTTAAATTTTAGAGGGATATGGAATATAGATATAATATTAACATTTGGAGGGGAAAATATGCTAATTTTAAAATATATGCTATAAACAATAGGAGAAATTTTTTTTGCCTTTTATTTTTATTTAAAATTCTGATCACTGGAAGATTAATGAACATTTGATGGCATGTCCCTGACCGTCCGATCGCAGAAGTGGATCATATCAGTTTTGAGGGGTGTATAGGAATAACATAAATTGGTTTAGGCTTTTTTGATAAATTGCGTACTGGAATATTCCAAGCCTCGAAAGATATTTACGCCCCGGTTTACTAAACCGCTCGAGAGTAGCGGTTCGTCGGCTGGCCCGGTTTACTCCATCCTTATCCATTCCGGTTTGTTCTCGTATAAATTGGACTCCCTCTCGTCGGCTGGTCCTCTTAGCTTCTGGTCTGTCGTCTGTGCTCGCGAAGCAGGTCCTCCATGGCAATGAGATCCGCCACCGCCCGCGTCCCTCGGTTGTGGAGGCCGGCGATGGAGAAGCTGGCTCGGAGGAGCCCTCGTTTCTTTAGCGACGACAGGGGTCGGATCCTCAGCGAGGAGGAGCGAGCTGCCGAGAACGTCTACATCCAGGTGAGTGGCCCTTACTGCTGTCTCGGTAGCCTTTGTCGGAGCCTTCTTGGTCTTGATCGGGGGATGTGTTCGTGTGGTCTGACTGGGCTGGTTTTGTGCGTAGAAAATGGAGAGGGAGCGGATGGAGAAGCTGAGGCGAAAGGCGGAGAAGGAGAGGCTCGAAGCCGAGAAGGCCAAGTCCGAGAAAGTAAGCAAAATTTTGGGCTTCCTTTCTGCTTTATTTGTAGCTATCGTTCTCTACTTTAGTTGATCAGCGTCAGATTTCTATCATATGGATCGTAGGTAAGCCATAAGCAGCTAATCTGTGCTCTCTGTTTGGAAATTTTGAGTATTTGGCTTTCTGATAGCTTCCAGGATTGTGAAAATGATGTTTTTCTTAGAGATTTAGGGCTTCCATACTTCTTTAACAAGAAAAAGGTGGGGTTTTGTGTCTGGGGATGTGGTTGCTATCAAAGAGGTTTGAGGTTTATGATGATTGCAACAACTTAGCAAAAGCATATTTTGAGTTGGAAAAAGGCGAAAAACTGGAATAAGGGAGGGGATGCTATGGAGTACATCGGAACATGGTAAATTGGGTGGACTTCGAACTTGGTTTCTAGTCGAACATGTCACTCAAAGCGAACACTCTTTATATGTGATAGAACTGTAATAACTGTACCCTCTAGTTTTGGACACCATCTCAACACTTCGGCTCATAATAGTGTGTAGTTAAGCTCCTGCAACATTCTACAACAATAAACAAGGGGAAAGCTTTAAGGGGTCACATCACATCATTGATTTTTCTGGAGATGATATATCTAAAATTGTCATAGAGATCATGCTGTCCGTTGTTGTTGAATTCAGTGATATCCTCTTTATGTAATTTAAGTTGAAGAAAAAAAAAAGATTATTTTGTCATTTTTGACCAATTAAGCATCTTCCTTTATGGATATTTTAATCTCTTTCTTAGATCAGTTTCTCTGGGAGGAATTGAAGAGGATCCTTCAAAGAAGGATTTATGTCACAGTGTCCAGCCTTGTTATTAATATTGTTGTGTGCAAGTCTATTGTTAAATCTAACCCATTCAAGCTAATTGTAGGCCATACAAATTCAGAGCATATGACTTACATGCAACAGTCACGATGAGACGAAAATAACATCGTAAAGAAATCTTGATACCAGAAGATTACGAGATGGCTAAGCTATATAAATCAGTCCTTAGGTCTTCAGTGCCATAGAAATCAGAAAATACCTACGAAACAAGGGCTTGTCATCCGAAGTGGTGTGACCTAAGATGCTTTTGATACGGAATCTAGTTCTTTTTATTTTTCCCTTGATCATGATGCATTTGAGGAAGGAAAGTGTTTTTAGGTTGGTAGTTGTATTACCCTTTTAAAATCCACTTTAATTTTACAAAAAATACACCTGCTAAGATGGCAATATCAATGAAGAACACTAGTGTTGATTTTGAAGCAAAAACTGCAGGAATTGTGGTTATGTAATAATGACATTGCAAACTCTTTGTAGTTTGGTATTTACCTCTTACAGTTGGATATAATAATCTTGGTTGTACTATTAGATTCTATTTATCAGCAAATCATTTACTTTGGTTCCTTCATGTGTATATATAGTTTCAGCAAAACTAAAAGACTAAATCTTAATTTGGAGTGATTGAATTTGAGATAGAGCTTTCGAGCTTTTTGACGTGGTAACAACTAATTAAAGTAATGTTCTTTTAGATTGATGATTTTGTTGCTTAATAATGCAGAGAGGGCCAAATATCAATACTTCCTTTCATGCCTTCATTTCATCTTTGTGTTCCTGCAGAGATCCGAGGAACCTCACAAAGGCTGACGCGGATATGCTCTCCTTCCTACCGCAACTCTTCGCCTGTGTACATACTGTGGTCTTGGATAAATGTATGCGTGCTTAAATAAGATGAAGATGAAGTGGCATGTAGACTCTTTTCTTGTGGACCTCTGACATTAATCTGTACATATCCTGTAGATTTAACGTGTAATAACGTGGAGTTGATGCTGGAGGTATCGACTTCAGCAGCTTCGATGTTTATTAAGTGAATGCGAATGCAATGGCCTCTTGGGTTGTATCTCACTAGCATCCAAAGATTCATCTTGTTGGCTTCAAACAGTTCGTTCTGCATCAAATAACGAGTTCATTATATATTATTTTCTGTAATTAGTTAGTATTTTGATTTTTATAATTTTAAAAGTTATATTAAATTTTTTATATTTATAAGACTCATTGATTATGTTGATAAAAATAAATAATTTTAACATAATTTTTAAAAATGTAAAAAATATAAATGTTAAATATAATTAATTATATGAACATTTTATAATTAGTCTTTGAATAGTTTTGGATATTATTTTGAATTTAAAAAATATATTTTAATCATGCACAGCACTCATAATGTTCTCTACTTTTAGAAAAAAAAAAGAACTAAAAAATCTAAATTAGAGTCGAATTGAAAGACAAAAGGCAAAGCAATTATGTTGACAGATCACCTTGAAAATATAAATTTGACACATTAATTCGTTGGATGTTTTGGTCAACATATACAGTAGGGAATAGAAATTAATCTCTTTGCTCGCTAAATCGATATATATATATATATATATATATATATATATATATATATATATATGATCATTAAAATTATTTAAACAGGATATTTAATTATTGTCATACTGTTGTCACAACAAATATGGCCATATCATTTATATAACAATAAGAAAATAATGTTTTTGCATTTCTGAATTATGCAGGGGCTGCATTGTAAATATGCCCAAAAAGGCTTCGCCTTTTATTATATCTGCCATTATCCTGTCTCTTCTCGTCGTCCTTCGCTCCGTCTTCCGCCATGGAAGCCGTCTCCTTCTCGGCTTCCCCTTACCGCCATCTCTCCCTGTGCGCGCCATCTCTCCACTGTAGTGGAGCCTTTTGCGGCGCGAGGGTCGCTGGAAGGCCAAACCTTTCCTCCAATTCCTCTACTTCCTGGACCGGCTCGACCCTCTACCTCGGATCTTCCCGCAGGACTCTATTTACCGTAAGCTTGCCCCAAGTCCGAATTCGTGATACTGTTCCTTTCTTTCTTCGTCTTCATCTGCGTGACAGTGTCATGGTCACAAGATTTCTTAATCTCAGAGGGAACTTTGGGGTTGGATCAATTCAAAATCTGAACACGTTAGTAGAGGGAGATGTTTCACGGTGAGGGCAGAGATGTTTGGGCAGCTGACGACTGGCCTCGAGACGGCCTGGAACAAGCTTAGGGGTGTAGGTCTGCAAATCCATCCTCGCTTCTCTTCTTGGCTGCTACCCCTTGCTTTAGATTCTTGATTTTGGTCACCGTTTACAGCATTTTCTTGAATCTGTTGTCAACAATATTTGGCAGATGTTTTGACCAAGGAGAACATAGCCGAACCAATGAGGGATATCAGGCGGGCTCTCCTGGAAGCGGATGTGAGTCGATGGCAACAGCTTCAAGCAGAGGAGAGAGAACTCTTCTCTCATTTGATTGTATGACCTGATAACATACTGTTGTGTAGGTAAGCTTGCCGGTAGTGAGAAGGTTTGTGCAGTCTGTTAGCGACCAGGCTGTTGGTGCGGGCTTGATTCGAGGAGTGAGACCTGATCAACAGTTGGTGAAGGTAGCAATGAGTATGAAGCATTTATCTTATAGAATTATACAGGTTCTCTTGTACCATCTACCATCACGATGTGTATCTGATGCAGATTGTGCATGATGAACTCGTGAAACTGATGGGTGGAGAAGTGTCTGAACTGGTATTTGCAAAGTCTGGTCCGACGGTGATGTTACTAGCTGGTCTTCAAGGTGTCGGAAAGACTACTGTTTCTGCGAAGCTTGCTTTCTACTTGAAGAAATTGGTGCAATTTGAGGACCCTCTTGTTCTCCTTATTTTGTTTGGGTAAAATCTGCATGTCCTATTGATGCTAATTGAAAAGCACAGTTTTCAGGGTAAGAGCTGCATGTTGGTTGCTGCAGATGTTTACCGGCCTGCAGCTGTTGACCAACTTAAGATTTTGGGAGAGAAGGTAACCTACAACTTCTGGGTATAGTTTGCTTGTCTGAGAATAATATTTCTGGTGGTCTTGTTCATCGAGTCTGTACAAGCATGAGTAGGGCCTGAGAATGTTGTATTCTGGTAAAATTTTTTGGTTCCTCTAGCCACTAGCAGAAAAGACCACTCTTTAAATTTAACTATGATTTACCTAGTGGTGGTAGTGTCCACAAAATCTTCTGAAGTAAAGAGGTTTTTCTCTTAAACTTAACTATTTGATTTCTACTATCTTCGTAATTTAACCTATTTCCTGAACAACTTTTGTTCTTATTTCGAAGTAGCTATTTGTTTGTAGGAATCTTGAAATCTTCATCTTGAAAAACTATAGTATTAGATTTTTGTGCTAATCTTGGACATTTCATTCGTGAGCTTGCATGTTTGATTTATTTTTTTCCATTTACTAATTTCTCTTGTGACATAGCTAGGATCTACTGTCCTCTACTGTCATCTCCTTTATAATAAACAGTGAGCCTGTGCAGGTGGGTGTCCCTGTTTATGCAGAAGGCACAAATGTAAAACCTTCGGAAATAGCTAAGCACGGTCTTGAAGAGGCTAGGAAGAAGTCAATTGATGTGGTTATAGTGGATACTGCTGGAAGACTTCAGGTCTCATGACATCTTTATTTGTGATTGCTTTTTTTTTTTGGGTGTTTCTAGTAAATGTAATTATATATCTTTTTTATTTATGATAAGAAAGGAACCAAGGGGAGTTATGAGTATAATTTTGGTGTTGAAAAGAAAATTGGTATGATGAAAGATCTTTAATTTGAGGAGCATGATGATTTGCAAGTACCCTGTATAATTAGTAAAAGCAAACCTGAAGGAGAATGATAAATACACCCACCTTGAATCCTCAAAAATATATTATTGAAAAAATAACATAGCTAACTTAGGCACCATTTCCAAATAAATTTAGTCAAAACTTGTTGTCTTCATTTCAACTATTTAGAACTGTGACTTCACCACTCTTACATGCAACTACATCCTCATGTATCTTTCATATACAGAAAATTCAGAAGTTAACATGATATTCTTATATAACTGTTTGTCTTCATGATAAATTGTACTTTAGCTAAATTCTTTATTCAAATCAGATAGATAAAACAATGATGGATGAGTTGAAGGAAGTAAAGCAGGCATTGAATCCTACCGAAGTTCTGCTTGTAGTGGATGCAATGACTGGCCAGGAAGCTGCAGGTGGGCAAAAACTAGAGTTACTCTATCTGTTAACTTCTTTGCTGCATGCTTCAGTGATTTACTGTATGTTTTAAATATTGTTGAAGACCAATAAAACAAGTGTGCTTAGTAATGACTGTTTAATTGGGTAGCTTAATATGACTAGTTTGTATGAACTAGCTGCTTGCTATGATGATAAATTAGGAGGCCTGTTTACTAGATTGTGTTTCCTTGGTCTTGCCTACGTCTGTTTCCTTATCAACTCTTCTTTGCAGCCTTGGTCACAACATTCAATATTGAGATTGGTATTACTGGTGCAATACTAACAAAGTTGGATGGTGATTCTAGAGGTGGAGCAGCTTTGAGTGTTAGAGAGGTTTGACTTCTTAACATATTCTTGGGAAAGACTTTACCTTTTGGTTTGATGAGGTCATCTCATCTTTCAGTTTGAAACAGCTTTCTCTACATTTTTTGCTTAATAAATAGTGGTGCTATGGGCATCAGAAAGCTTATGGAAATATTGAACTTTTACTTTCATAGGAAGGAGGACTCAGACAATTTTAGATCTTACTTTTTTAAAAATTAAACCATACATTTAGATGCTAGAATGTCTGAATTTCTTGTATAACTAGTTTTAACTTGATATGGCATGATGACCACTTTTTTCTTTCTTCTTGGGATGTGTAATGACCTTTTTAAAATAATCTCATCATAATTCATTCATGCATGTTGTGGACCATCTTTTGCTCTTATATAACACTTTCTTTTGGCCGTTGCAGGTATCAGGAAGGCCTATTAAGCTTGTAGGACGAGGGGAGCGTATGGAAGATCTTGAACCTTTCTATCCTGATCGCATGGCAGGCCGCATATTAGGGATGGGTGATGTTCTTTCATTTGTGGAGAAGGCACAAGAAGTAGTAAGTATTTGTTATCTTCCAAAAATTTCCTTATCATGTGCATTTCTAAATAGTGAAAAAATCATGCTAGTAGATGCGACAAGAAGATGCTGAGGAATTACAAAAGAAGATCATGAGCGCAAAATTTGACTTCAATGACTTTTTAAAACAAACACGTGCTGTTGCACAAATGGGTTCTGTGAGCCGTGTCATCGGAATGATTCCAGGCATGGGGAAGGTACGCATGTTTAACTTCATAATGACTGAGTTTCCATTTGCTTCCTTAACTGAATTACATTTATGATTGGAGATGAAGCTACAAGAGGTCACTAAGAAATAATGGCCATTACTTTGTGTAAAGAAATCTTAAATTTTTGTATAAACTCATTTGTGGTGGATGATAAAACTGCAACTAACTTCCATGTCTCCTGTTTCAAAAAGGTTACTCCATCTCAAATTCGTGAAGCAGAGAAAAATCTGAAGATCATGGAGTCAATGATTAATGTGATGACCCCAGGTAGATATTTTCAGTGAGACTAGTGATAATTCTCATTGTTTTCACGCCTTCATCTCTAACACCTATTATTTCACACCCGAAATCCTAAACCATGAACTTATAATTTAACACACAGAGGAACGGGAAAAGCCAGAGTTGCTAGCTGAGTCACCCGCTAGAAGGAAGAGAATTGCTACCGAGTCTGGAAAGACAGAGCAGCAGGTCTTTCTCGCATAGAGCTTCTGAACTCAGTTTTAATTAAAGATATTTAATGTTTTTTGCATTCTAAAGAGCATTGCATTATAAAAATTTACTGGGGTAATTTATAGAGCTTTCTGGTGCTTAGGTGAGTCAACTTGTTGCTCAACTATTCCAAATGCGTGTTCGAATGAAGAACTTATTGGGGGTCATGCAAGGAGGATCCATCCCAGCATTGAGCAACCTAGAGGAGTCACTGAAAGCAGAGCAAAAGGTACCTCTCACTGCCCTCTTGGAAGAAACTCATTGACAGATCCTCTAGACTGATTGATTTCCTAATGGTCATTGCCTTTTAGTAGTCTGTGTGATGCAGTACCAATGAAACCTCCCACTCTATCAGATGAGTTGAACAATCTCCTAACACTACGGATGTTCCATAACAAGCTTTAAGTCCTTATTACTAGTAATTATGCCTTAAGAATGATCGATCAGAAAAACTTTCTAAATAAAATGCAAAAAGAGTTTTGCCATAAAAAAAGCCTCTAACATGAGCATTTAGTTTAGTAATCATCCCTATGTATGAAGATTTAATTTTCAGATGCAATTTGGGTGCCTTCTGTGACCTGATATTTTTCACATGAAACCTGTTGCAAGTGTAAAAAATTTAGAGAGAACACTTAGGAAATAGCATATATATTACCATACTAGGAGGAAAAGTAGTGCATTGAGACCCTGATCTCCAAAATGGTGGAACTTGTTAACATAAATCTTGATTTTTAGTATGCAATGATCTGTTGCGGCCTATTATGTATGCGATGACCGGCTTCCTTGTTATTTTCTCTAACAGGCACCTCCTGGCACTGCACGGAGGAGGAGACGATCGGAGCCGAGGAAACAGTTTGCAGACTCGGCATCAGCAAGACCCAGCCCTCGTGGATTCGGAAGCAAGAACTGAGAGTTCTACCCTTCATGTGGAACCTTGCAGCCTTTCCCATGGCTCTTTCCGTATCTGCAGGTTGACCTTCTAAACCTTCTGTGCTGTGGGAAGTCAAATCTGAGAATGTCATCTCCAAACTTAAGTGTTATTTTTTTCTTCTTGCGACTTCATAAACGATACATATAGCTGCTCAATCTGTAATGAGATTTATCTACCTTAATTGTTTCTAGAATAGTTTCTTTCTTTTAGATGAGAACATATGGTTCGATGAAGGAAATCTTCCCAAGCCAACTTCTGATCCATCAACTGTTCTTCCGAAACCTGCTCAACCTAAACAGTGAGTCATGTTGGGATAGCCCAAGCATAACCGGGGTTGTATAGGCTTAGTTCTGGTTCAACCCTGGTTCAATCTAAATCAAATCCAAATAAAAAACCTTCAACCTCACATATATGCATACATTTGTCTATGCATATAAATTAATCCTATTGATTCTTTAATTGTTATAAAAGCAATTAAAGCCCACTGTCATTTTTCACACACACAGAGAGAGAGAGAGAGAGAGAGAGAGAGAGAGAGATGTCTCTCATTTAACATTGGACCGGTCTGGGCTTCGGCTGGACCGGTACTGGGTTTCGGGTTGATCTTGGTCTTAGGCTAGGCCTTGGGCTCGGTTCGGCGCACGTCAGCGCGAAGCGGGCGAAACCCTAAGCCGCGGAACCCTCTCCTTTTAAAGCCAACGACAAAGAACAGCATTCTCTCTCCTCATCAACTTGCGCCGCGACGTTCTTTCTTCTCCGCGTTTGGATCCAGGGAGATGGTAAGCGTATCTCCATCTCCTCCTCATATCAGATATTTTCGTTGGTTTGATTCGCTAATGGTTTCTTTGATCTGTGAGGCAGGCGCCCAAGAAGGACAAGGGTCCGGCCCCGTCCTCGAAGCCGGCCAAATCTGGTGGAGGCAAGCAGAAGAAGAAGGTATGGTGTGCTTGTAAGGTTAAATTTAGGGCCTTGGTTTTTTTACTTATTATCATGGTGCTCAAGTGATTTAGAATTTGGATTGCAGAAGTGGAGCAAGGGGAAGCAGAAGGAGAAGGTAAACAACGCGGTCCTCTTTGACCAGGCGAACTACGATAAGATGCTGTCTGAAGTTCCCAAGTACAAGCAGATTACCCCGTCCGTGCTGTCCGAGCGATTGCGGGTAAAAGATTTCGACTTGATCTGGTTCATCCATTCGATGTTAAAGAAGCTTCTTAGAATTCTGCAGCAACCTCTCTTTTGGAAGTAGTTTACTGTTGGTTTGATTCTTTGAATGCAATCTCGTCTCTCTTTCTCTGCTAAATCCTTTAGCGCTACAACTATACGGTGATATGTTTGAATAGATGTGACGTGCCTTAAGTCTCAATTTTTGGTGAGTGTACATCAATATGACAAAAGTATGCACATCATGCAGTATGTAAATGTGGAGAGATCGGTCATTCCATTTTGAGACGAGATCAATTAGCCACTCTATAGATAAAAGATAGTTAATTGATGGAAGTACATAACTATAGTTTAGTTGATCCAAATTGTTGCTTTAATTTTCTTTAATCATTGGGTTAACTGCGTTTGCTCGTGTGGTTGCTAGAATGTATGTCGACTTTTCGTGCGTACATACTTAAAACATGTTATGATTAACCAATTACTTAGGGTTGATTTTGCTTTGCTCTACTAATTAAGTAAATTTTGTGTTGCATTGCTTCCATTGCTCATGCAGTATGTTGTTGGAAGAAATCAAGTGTCTGGTTTAAATTAAGGGATCAGATTTTTTTTTCCATTAGCTTGAAATGTGCTGAAACAGGTTTTACTTTTTTTCTTAATGAGAGGAGAAAAAAGAATAAACTGGTTTGTGTTATACTTGGGTTTGGTTAATTAGTGCCTTCTCCCTTTTATTTAGGTATATATAGTTGCTTTGTTTTGGTAGCATTGATGCTCACGGAACTGATTTCTTTAGCTTATGTTCATAAAAATTGGAGCCTCTAATTTGGGAATCTATCTTTGAGCATAATTTTTACCTTTGTTGATCAATTTGTCCTTGGACATGAATCCATCTTCATAAATCTGGAGAAGGCAATGACAAGAACTTATTACCCAACCTTATGTGGATAGGCTTCAGTTATTTTCTTTTTCTTTTTCTTTTTGACGTCCTATGATTTGCAATCGTAATATATAATACCTAAGTATTTGGGTAACTGGTGTAACTCTTCGTTTTGGTATTCTGTGCGATTGAATATGTAGCTATTGTGGTTCATGAAACCTGTGTGAGATCTCTCTTTGCGACTGTGATAATTTCATTCTGGTCAGCACATTCCTTGCCTTAAACAAGTATTTTCTTGACTGGCACCTTTTTTGTGTATACACATGAAATACTGTGTGAAAATCAAATGTTTTCTTTTGAAATGCTTGGGTAAAATGTCATGATTGCCTTTTGTGCTGCTGCATCTTTGACATTGATATGGTTCATCCTTGAATTTCTATTTTCCGGCCCATGCAACTGTGGTTTAGGGTAGGTGATAGTAACTCTGTCATACTACTGTCTGCCTCTTTAATTATATCCATATTAGTATTTAGCATTATTATGATGATAAGAACCGAAGCTTCCTTCAAGATCCTCTTGGATACATGGGGTTTCTTGTTACGGTATGCATTATTATGACTTGAGCTTATGTCCTCTTTCTTTTCAGATTAATGGATCACTAGCAAGGAGGGCCATAAAGGATCTTATGGCAAGGGGTGCTATTCGGATGGTGTCTGCTCATGCAAGCCAACAAATCTACACTAGAGCCACCAATACTTGAGAGCAGCTGTCTCCCTTGTTTCTCTAGCAATTGGTACTTATTTTCCACTTGGGTTATCGGATGTTTTCTCGGTAGTATTAACTATGTATGGCATTTAGTTTTTATTGCTTTATCAAGAACAAATCTCTTCTTTCAGAGTTGAACCTCATGTTCCCTATCGAGTTTGCTAGATAATATGTTTTGCCATTACAAGAAATCATTGCCTTGACCATACATTGTGTTGCTGCTTGGCTGCAATTTCCAGTGGCTTTCATCGAGCTGATCAAGAAAATTATTTGCTGTTGGTGTATTAGCCACCACAACAAATGCTTCTTATGCATGACCAGGAAACAGAGAACCACAGCATCAGCAAGACGGCCGCTGCCGCCTCTCATCGTAGAGCTGCACGGTCTGCCCGTTCAGCGGCTGCAACGGCCTCGAGTTACTCCGGTACTCTTCTTCCAGTGGCGCTTTCAGTGCGCTTGCTTGCTCCTCGCTCATCTCTCTCACCTGAAACGTCACACACGAAGAGGACAGAGAAAGCAACTGGTGAGATGCCAACTGAGCTTGATTCTTAATGTTCGTGTGTGTATACCTTGCCGAGGATGCTCCATATAACGTTCTCAGTGCATGGTGGTGTCGTGAGAGATCCAACGTATCTGTAGTACTTACGACTGTGGCGCTTCCACCATCTTGTTCGAACAATACCAACTGGAACTTGTGCGCGTGCCCCCATGGCCAGCTCATCGATCTCCTTCCTCATCTGTGAATTAAGGTACTTTCGTCAGTAGATCACGAAGCAATGACAGCATCTTATTCCCCTCATCGCCGTTCTACCTGGATAAGGAACGCGTCCGGGTGGCCGTACCGGTACAGGATCGATACGACGGTGATGTCGCCGCAGTCGGTCTTGTGAACGAGGTGAAGCTCCACCGGAAACCTGTCGAGAGATTGGAACAATTACGTAACAGCAGCAGAAGAATTCATTAATCCAAAAGGCATACCGTTCTCCGTTGATGGTGTGCTCCGAAGGCGAATGCCAATGCATTTGTAGCAGGCTGTAGTTCTTCCCATCCACGGTCATTTTCCCTGCACCACCACCTTCATACCGTAGCTACAGGAAAAAGGAGTTCGATCACCTGAACCATGTATGTCTCTCATTACTTGCTGAGGTTTCATCGATGGAGGAACAGACCTCGACGTTGAAACCATTGTCGATGAAGGTGGCGTTCGTGGGGACGTAGTCCCTGTCGAGTCCTTTCAGGTTCGGGTTATAGACCACGTCGTCCTTCACGATGTTGATTGGGGACTGGTGCTTTCCTGCAGAGCACAGCTTGAACTCTGAGCTTAAGCTTCCCCATTTCTCTGGTCCAGTTGCTCCACCGTATCCAAATCTAATGAAATCTGTCGAACACCGCAAGTTCCTGAGACTTGGCTATTAAGAAGAGCTTGAGCTTCTTGAGCGCGACCTGCAGGAAGTTGAAGCCTCATACCATGGGCATATGCACAGGCCACAAGAAGGGACGCTATCTCCAGGGAAAACATGGCTTTCATGCAAGCCATTGCCATCTATATCTCCTCTTCCTCCTCCACTTAGACAGGTAGAAGCAGCAGTCCATATAAAGAAGCAGAAGTTTGTGGTGATGGGTTGGGACGTTCTGCAATCCACGTTGGTACGCAGGACTTTGTGGTGTGATCCATTCTTCTACAGGTGACTCCTGTAAACATAATATAAGACATCTACTTTTTGGCCTAATAGATCAGGCATGTCCATGATCTGACAGTGCTCTCATGCAGTGAGTTCTGATGGTATCAACAAGAAGAAAAAGAGGATTTGAACTTTTCTAGCTGACCTAAAGAGTCCACTCGATGATCCTTTCTGAGAGCAAGCACTCTTTCCTTTTAGCTTCTCAGGATGTGAGACAGGATTCTTGAATGGGATTGATGCCAAAAAGACATGCAATGGATCAATTTAAGTATCTTTTCAAGCTGCAACAATGAAAGATCAAGGATCAACTATAGCTGAAACCTAATCAAGAAAACACCACAAAACAAGACAAATAGCACTGGAATGAATATCTACATTGTTGTCTGAGGGAAGATACCTAATTGCATCATGTTTTGACCTATTGAATTTAGGAACTTTGCGAGTTGATCATTCATAACTCACATTTCCCTTTTTACAGAGAACAAGAATTGACCATCAGCACACTTAAATGTGCATATATGGAGCAAACAAACTGCTACTCTGATGACTGAACCAAGAATTCTCCAAAAGAATGCATTCTCTTTAGAAAGAAAACATTAAGAATCATAAAATGACACAACATGGACAAGATGCCAAACTTCATCTCATCATTCACTTTACTCAAAAGCAAGTATGAGCGAAGATTCCATTAAGAATCATGCACTTTCCAATACGGCCTGCCTCAATATCTATCTATCTATCTATCTATCTATCTATCTATTGCTAAGTAATCGAAAAGGGTCCCCATGAGGATGTAGCATACAAGTGTCAACTTCTTGCTGCATGATCTAAACTTCTTGCCTGCCTGCCTGCCTGCATTAATATCAACCTCAAGTGGCACTTTGTTTGACGGTGACAAACTGACGATGGTGTGAGATACTCATTGTTAGGTTTTCTTGCAAACCATATTACATTGTGGGGAATGGCAACATAGGAACAGGAAATTGACTTCATTATCGGCATCCTATTACGATGCTGCTATATCCTGCCTTCATCAAATTGAGAGTTGATCCTGTTTCCCAACTTGGAAATTGAATTATATGTGTATGTATATATATATATGTATATATATGTAATTGTTGAAACGATCAAATTCAATTTGATGAGATAATTAATATATTAATTTTATTGAGTCAAAATCATTCACGGAGATTGTTTAAATCCTAATAAAAACTAGTATACTAATCAAGTCAGTATAAATCAATTTACACATTATTTCTTCAAAATCGAGTATTAATTATGGTGTTCTCATAAATATCCAACATAATGCAAAATCAAACCCTATTATGTTTAATGCCCAGAATTAGGTTGGTTATAATATTATTATCATGATTCCATCTGATGACATTACTAATATATTAATTTTATTTATGCTAAACTATTAATTTATATTTTTAAAGTTTAAATAAATTATAATACATTCATCAAATCCTAACAAATTAATTTTTTTAAAACATAAAATAATTTGAATCATGTCCTCACAATTGACAGAATATTTATGACAAGAATAGTTGAACTGACAAAGTCATTTTTTAACATCATCATCATCATCATAATAGAGTTTTTTTTTTATCCTCAATCTTTCTATGTTGCACATTATTTCCTTGATCTTATTATCTATATGATAGACCTTGTAATCTTCTACTTATTTTCAACCCATGAAAGGTGCTTTTGACTTGTGATAGAAGGCTATTGGGATACAAATAAAACTTCTTCTAGAGGATGAACATAAAAGTTGGATGCAATTGCTTTATATAATAAAAAAAATAGAAAAGTGATAAAGTTTTACTATGATATGTCATACAGTGGAGTCATTTGGACTTGACATGAGGGAATAATATACATAAGATTCAGGAATTTATGTGGGAAAGCAAAATATTTGAGGACTAATATATACATATATATATGAAAAAATATAAATATTTGGAAGGATATATGTATGCAAAATATAAATTCTTGGAGGAATATATATGCAACATTACAAATCAGAGGGACCAATAAATATTCTATTTCCAAACTATGAAGGAATTAATATATAGACTCGGAGGAATGAGTGAGCCGATTTCTGTAATAGTCTAAAGTTAATTAAATTATTAATCAACGTTTCTATTAATGTGACAAAAAATAACCAATCAATTCTCTCAGTTCACGGAGTGATGGCATCGAAGTCATAAAGAGGTCAAGACAGGTATGTGCATGAAGCAAAGCGCAAAGACTCACTCACGCATGCCCATTGCTTCAGCTCAGATAGAGACCTCCTAGTTTGGGCGGCGCCGCCCCACTTCTTGAGACACTGCCTCGGCCACCGGCGAGTCCTGTTAAAAATTGCGCACTGCGCGTGCCATCTGTTCTTCTTTGTTGCCGGATGCAACAACGAAGGTTGGAGACGTCGATCCGTCGTCATTCCCACCATCACCTTAACACGGAAAGATCTCGGTGGTGTGCGAAAAGGTGGTGGGGAAGATGAGCTCGGCGTGGGTCCAACTGATGCATGATGATGATCTAGAGTTCTCTACCTGAAATGATCAAGACAGGCAAGCAATAATTCCACTGTTGATTCATTTGGACGCCAGAAGAGGAAGAAGAAGATGATGACACGAACTAAAACTCCTCCGATCCCTTCCACGTTCTCAGATATTTTGCGGACGAGAGACATGCTACAACGATCATGCCGACAATGAAATCTAGAAGAAAGATGTCCCCTTGTTGTTCTCGGATATTTTGCAGACGTATTGTTTGTGATTTGGATCTTTGTCGTCGTCCTCTTCTCCCACTGCTCCTACTTTTCCCTTGACGACACGCCATTGTAAGCAAACAGATTCCTCTCTCCTTCCTGGTTAGGGAAGCATGCAAACTGTTCCATGGTTTCTTCTGGAGGACATGGCGACGTGGAGATGGACCACTGCTGCCGACTGCCAAGAAAACGAGCATTAGCATTCGGCAGACGGCATGCAATGCAGACTTCTCAGCCATGCGAAACCCTACCACCATGAATCATGCATGCCTTCCGTTTGTTGACCATCTAATAATGATCTCAGCTCAGCTCTCTCTTCTTGACGAGGCTGCGGGATTCAGGCGATTGGTTTGTCTGTTTGGAGCACAGTGTTCATGGACCACATTGGGTGGGATTCCCCAAAGCAACAGAAGACGAAAGGAAAGATGAACTTGGCAGATGGATATCGGATATCACGATCACGCGCAGGAGGAAGAAAGAGAACAGTAGAGAGAATTACTTGGAAGTCTTACCTACAGTCACTGTCCTTTATTGCGTGTAGAAACACTAATATGCCATCTTCTTCATGAGATTTCAATCATCCACTATAGTTTCCTTAGTGAATTCTGGCTCTGTGACAGGACAAAAGCTACTGCACTTTTAGTAAGACCATGTTTTGGATGGGTAAATGGTAGAAGGGTTGGAAACATGTTCATGAAATGGAAGTCAACATCAGGGTTGACTGGTAAACCCTAGTGCCCGGTGTTCAAACCACTAGCCAAGCCTTTAGTGGTACATCTTGCCTCCGACCATCCTCACCACTACAAGTAATGGGAAGTTGATGGCAGCCCTCCACTCAATGGTGCATTTTGTCTTCAGACACACTAAAAGTGCAGCAGACTCCCATTAGTTTAATCCACACATCTCATGCTTGATCGCCATGCTTTGTAGGTGGAAGAATGCTTGGCCTTTTGTTCTTGTATGACTACGTTTGGAAGCATTCTGCACGCCCTCTGCCCACTTCACCATCCCAGAAAAAACAAATACTTCCGCTGGTGGGGTCTTCGTCAGGAGCTTTGTCCATGGCATTCCTCTGCAATATCTCGCCGAGGTAGGGTCATTTCTCCATGCATCTCCTTTTAAATACCGAGACTCGCCCTCCTCCTTCCAGCCTTAGGCCTTGATCCAACAGCCATTAGCCTTCAGAGGAGTGTGAGCATGGGGAACTGCTTGGTTCTTCAGGAGAAGAAGGTGATCAGGATAGTGAAGATGGACGGAGAGATCCTTCGGTACCGATCGCCGATGAAGGTTCAGCAGGTGCTGGATGAGTTCCCCGGGCACGCAGTCTCCGACGCGCTTCCGGTGGTCACGTACTTGGATCCGGCGCTGTGTTTGAGACAGGGGCAGCTGTACTATCTTCTTCCACCGAAGAAGCCGGCGGCAGCGGTGGAGACCAGCGTCGGAGAGGAGGGGGTGATCAGAATCAAGCTGGTGATAACTAAGCAGCAGCTGAAGGACATGTTGAGCAAAGGAGGGGTGTCCCATGGTGACATGGTATCTTTTCTACGGGGACAAGGAGACAGAAGTGGTGCAAGTGAGAAAGAGAGATCCATGGAGTGGAAGCCTACTCTGGAAAGCATACCAGAAGGCAATGATTTCTGCTAGGAATTGGGTTCTCCAACTAATTAGCTGAAGGATGATTTAGATCTGATAAGCTCATCATGTATACATACATATATATATATGCAATCATAGGAAGGGGTTCTCTTTCTCTTTTCTTCTCTCCCCGAACCAGAGAAGGCAAAGATAGCCCATGAAACACATACTGAGTTAATTCCAACTTTATCTCTCTCCAAGGTGTCTCCATGAAACGTGATGCAGGTTCTCTACTTTCTTCTTTGGCCAATAAATCTATTAATCCAGGACAATTAATGTCAAGATAAATCCTATCAGTTCCAGATATATTTCCTAATCTCATCTAGTGTTTACTTGGAAGTGGCAATCATGCTCATCCACTGTGGTTGATCTCATGGGGCTAATCGATTCAGATGATGAAACAAAGGATGTGGATCGTCATATATTGATATCAATGTCAAACAGAGAGAAGCATTGTTTTGATATATAGGCCTTTGAAAATGAGTTCTTAACCATATGTTAGTCTCATACAAAGAAGTTTAACATCATATCTTCTTGCTTATGTCCGAGGGAAGGTATTTCCAATCCAACATCATTAGCTGATCTGCAGAGTGCCACAGACACGATCCAACATCAAAAGCTTTTTTGCAGTGACTTCAGATCCAAATCTTAGCTCAGTGGAGCACTACAGAGGACATGACAGTAACTGGTAGATTCTGTTCATATCTTGTCCAATACAATAGTTGAGATTAGCACATTTGGATGTTACTATGCTCAAAGAATGAACTAACGATAAGGAGTAAACAAAAGAGTAAGGACAAATTTCTGTAGGTTAATGTTCCACTCAAAAGAATAAAAACAAAATAGAAAGGAAGTTGAAATGCATCATTTAGGAGATCATAGGAAATGATGTGATGCTCTTAAAGTTATTCCCCTGGATCTTCTTTGCAATCTTTGATGATAGATACAAAGTATCAGCTGTGAGCACCAATGAATATACTAATAGGAAAAGATGATGTGATTGGAACAAGGAGAATGCTTAAAGCGATTGAATCAATGATTCTTATAGCAACTCATGGCTTTAACATTTCTGATCATCCAAATGTATCTTTCTACACTTCTTTCTACTGCAACAGCTGACAAGACAGTGTGTTCATACATCATCTGTTCCATTTCCCTCAGAAAAATCATGTGTGTTCCACTAGGCTTTCCTTTCAACTTCCACTGCCACTTCGTTTCTACGGGTAAAAGGAAGCGTGAATGGGGGATTGAACTGCGGAATCACACGGAAAATGAATTCAGTATAAGAAACACTTCTTATATGTTAGTTTTTTTCTCAGAAGCAAAGGTAGATCGGTCGAGTTCTACCTGTGCAACTTCCACTGATGCACCTTCTTTCACTTGGAACTCTGTATCACTTCTTAGAGCCTCACGTAATTTGGATTCTCTTTGCATAACATCTTCATCTGTAACAAAGCCTGATAGATGGAAAGATAGCATGCTGAGGATTACATGGTTTATCAAACTGTAACTCTATTGCATCTATCAACAAAAAGCAGGAGAAAGGAACCTTTCTTTGCTAAAGTAATGCACATTGGAATAGCAACTGATTTGATTGCTTAAACAAAGTTTCTTCTTTGGACATCCCAATAATCCATAGGATTTCTAGACCAAAGTACAGCACCCATAGATTTGTTTGTTGAGTTCTTGTCAACAAACATATAACTTGCTTCATGTCTGTTCATTATTTCTGTGATCTCATTAATTTTCACACACCTGAGAAGGCAGCAACTGCTACTATTTTCTTTGGCACCTCTTTGATGCTTACTGATGAATCTTTGGGCATTGGCAAGTTAGAACCGTATTTGGATGGCATGACAAATGACATCTGCCACTTATCCTGATTGGGTGACTGATCCACAAACATATTACGCTTAATCAATAACCTTCCATACAGTAAAGTCTAATGAAACATGCAAAAAGAAGCAGATACTACAGAGTGAAAACTGAATGACACTAGAACTTGCCTTGTTTGTGATCACAGGGGTTGTCATATCCATCTTCACTCCATCAGACTGCGATTTGCGGGTATAAACAGGAGTGGTCATTTCCATTTGCTCGCTTGTAATATTCTGCAAAAATAATGATGTCGGATTTAGATTCAAGTTCAACTTCAAAGTAATCCACAGGAGCTTCTTTCTAGGACAGAAGCAGAGAAGAGCTTCATGTACCTTACCAAATAGGTATGCTGCTAGAACATTGAATGCTTGTGATGAGCCATTGAAATCAAACCCAGTCTTCCCTGGCATTGCTGTCTCGGCAATGAAATAAGACTGTCGGGCACATTCACATCCATTTATCAGTATGAACTATCAAGAAACACAATAGGGAATCACAATAATCTACCCAATTTACCATGAACAAATAATAATGCTAACAGAAACATGAAAATTTTAGCAAGATTCTATACGACATTCCAGCTTTTCTTCGTCATCCTTCTCTTCTTTTATTGTTCTTAATACGGAGGGAAAAAAAATCTTTGGTGTAATCAATCGGTTAAGCTCATCGATAATTTATTCCAAGGAAATCAAGGTGGCTTCTTTCGGCTAAATCAGCATTTACTTGCATGATTTCTTCAAGCTGAAAAAATAACAAGTTTCACACTGTCAACTCCAAACACACTGCAGAGCCTGAATTTGAAGTTCATTACCTTCAGTAGTTCATAAAATTCACTACTTTAACACACTCTGCTGCTAATTTTAAGAGATACTCCTCCCAACCAGCAAGTCTTAAGATTTCCCTCAATCTTGCTTTTCCTGATCAATTTCTCGATTTCATGTCTTGCGTTAATCGATATCATTAACCATGCTGAAAGATTCAATCTTTACAAATGTTAGGTGACATTTTCTCCTGAAAGTTTCTGGCTGCTAACATCAACAACTATTAGTCCTCCCAACATCCTAAGACCCCCCCTTTTGAACCTCAAACTTCTATCTTTATAAGCTGTGCTGAAAGCCCCTATCTTTGTCGACGAAAGAACAACAATTATGCTTACAAGTCCCTGGAACTAATACGAAGAGCAATCGTGACATCTTAAACAAAAAATTCAGATTAAATTCCTACAGAAAAGAAGAACAAATGAAACATTCAGGGAGTATTATCAAAACAAAAGAGACCTCTGTGGATATCTTACCTCGACTTCTCTAATCTCGTACTCGTTCGTCCGCTTCAAGACCCGGAATTTGACTGTTTCAAGATCCGGAACTTCCCATACAAGAAGAAAGCAAGGAGAAAAGTTAGAACTGAATATGGGGACGGCATGAAATCACGAAGAAACCAAACAAGAAGAGCTACCTGACATCAGAGCCTCCTCGAGATTCCGAGCTTCAAATCTCCTCCGCGGAAAAGCGTACTTTGCGGTTTCCGACGCCAATTCCACCAAATCTGCCACCGTAAACAATGATTCAATCACACGACAAAATCTCTCGGGAACTCCGTTCCTAAAATCTCTCGATCCTTACACCGCTGAGAGACGGCCGAGGCCTGGGAAGCGAGGGCGAGTACGAGAGAGATCCGAGTCTCCCATGCCGACGGGCTCCTCCGCGCCGCGGTACCGCTTCGCTCCGCCGAGGCCATGACGATGGTCGACGACCGCGAGGACGACGGGCTCCGGTGGCTAGGAGATTTAGAGATGGAGGTGACGATGGTGTAGGGTTTCCACAGCGTAGCCATGTCCTCTTTCTTCTTCTCCTCCTCCTCCTCCGATCATGTCTACATCGACCGAATCAAGATCTCTTTTTTTTTCCCGGTGCTACGGAGTCCTCTGCCAGGAATTATTGTGGTTCGCGTTCGTTAATCTGGTTAGTTCTCATGAATCTATGTAACTCACACGTGGCGACTTCTAAGTCGTGGAGAAAACATGAACATTAACATGTAATGAATTGGGTTAAGTAATTTCTTAATTTTCTTTGGGAAAAATTCCTAGTCTTTTATTTTCCCACGCAGCACTTTCCTTTTACTTTATTCATAGAGTCTTTTATTTTCTAAAAAGATAGATATTATTATTATCTTTTAATATCGCTTGTGCCTCCTTTCTAAGTTACTATTTTAATCGAGCGATAATAAAAGATAAAAGAGAACATGGGAGATCTAAAATAAAAAATGTGGAGAGGATTGAGGATGGAGAAAGAAGGTAAGAGCTTTGTCATGGGCTTTAGCAATACTTTAACAACAATAGATAAAAACCTTAATGATAGCGATAGACGAAAGCGATAAATAAGGATATAATGATAATGACAATAAAGGATAGAAATGGTCTTAGTAAAGTGGAGGTGACGATCATAGGACATGATAAAAAATAATTTTATAATTAAAAAAAAGAAATGCTTTTTAAAGAATTACATGAGAAAAAGTAAATATTTAAAGAGTAATTTTTGGGAATGTATATATATCTTTTATTTTTTTGTTATATGTATTTACCCCATATTTTTCCCCATATACGTACGTACACGATAACAGAGAGCGTTTTCTTTTTCTTTTTATGAGATAAAAAAAAAAGAAATGGCAGATTTTTATTTGAGGACCAAACCCGAGCCCTAATCGCTGACCCATGGCTTCCTTCTCCATCTCCCCTTCCTCGTCCTCATCCTTCACCTCGAGATCTCGCTGCCTCTGCTCCAAGCCCCGCCCCTCCAAGCCCTTCCTCCTCCTCCTCGCCTCCCCCTACCGTACCGCTCTCTCATCTTCCTTCCCCTCCTCGGTGCGTGTCGGCATCGCCCTCAGATGCCCGAGCCTTAGGGTTCCTCCGTCTTCGTCCATCCGCGCCAGCGTGCAGGTTCCGGAGGGAATCCGGCCGGGGAGCGGGGTGGAGACGGACAAGCTGCCCTCCGATGTGCGCGACCGCGCCGTGGAGGCCGTGGATTATTACGGTGGGAGGGTCACGATTGGAGATGTGGCGAGCAAGACTGGGCTTAAGCTGAACGAAGCTGAGAGAGCTCTGCAGGCACTCGCTGCGGATACTGGTGGATTCTTGGAGGTGACGACACTTTCCTTCCTCGTCACAAATTGTGTCGGTTTCGTCTTGGATTAGTTCAGTTCAACATTTTTTCTACCCATAGCTCTTTTTCTATCAAGGTTTTGAATATTATACCTCTTTTCTCAAACTCTTACTAAAATTTCGGGTGGTTGGTACTTAAGCTAATTACCAGTAATTTTCTCTTTCTTTCATTTCTTGTTTTAGAGTTTAGTTCGAAAAAGAAAATACGTTGAGGTTATGATTTTGAGTGTCAAACTCTGTGGCCTAGTATTGACTCAATTCATGGAATATATAAAAATAAATATCAATTGTAATGATGATGATAGATGAACTTCTATAGTGGAACGATGGCTTATTATTTGACATTGGAAACTATATCTAGCACCTTTAGTAATTGAGGGGTTCAAATAGCTGCTACAGAAGCTGGGAGCAGGATGAGGAAGGAATTACTGCTGTATATTGCATAAGTGGACAACTGACTACCAAGACTATGATGGAGGTCGATCAGTACTGGGGACCTAATGTCTGATGCTAATATAAATTGCAGAAGGATAAAATAATAAAAAAGTTAATTACAGGAAATTGAGAGCAAATGGAAATTATCCACATTTCTGTGTTTCCAAATCTAAGGTCTTTACATGTCAAACTCATTTCTTGGTTTCTGTAATTTTAAATGCTCAGGGGTAATATGTAAAGAGCCTGACGACCTTAGACACCTATTTTCAAATGGAGGAGCAATATAATGATCTACTAGCTGACTGCATGCTTTGTTATTAGGGATACTATTGTAAATATACCAATGAGAATAAGATGGTATGTTGCAGAGTGGACGAGAACTAAGCTTACCTATCTTGTTTTATTCTCTTCTCGTCTTACTTCAGGCTAAAACACCAATAAAGGGATTTCATGCTCATATAGAAGAATGACTATTGTATATAGCTCTGTCATCTAATTTGTTTAAGTTGTTAAACTTATCATCGAATTAATTATTTTGAGATACTGTTTGTAGGTTTCAGATGAAGGTGATGTTCTTTATGCTTTCCCAAAGGATTATCGCTCAAATCTTGCTGCAAAATCTTTTAGGATGAAAGTTGAACCTTTTATAAACAAAATGAAGGTATTGCAAGGGAAATGCACATTTTTCTCAACTTTTTCTTGATTAACAAATCTCTAGAGTTGTTTTCAGCTAGTGCATTTAAACAGTTCAATGTTGCTTGCAGGCAGCAGCAGCATATCTAATCAGAGTTTCCTTTGGCACTGCACTTATTGCCTCGATAGTCCTTGTATATACAACAATCATTGTGCTTATTTCTTCTAGTCGGAGGTTTTGTGCTCTATCATTATTCAATATAGCATTTTTTTTAGAAATCCTTTTTAGACTTTTATACATGTTGCTGCCAATTGGTTGATAGCTTGGTTTGTCTGGATTAATTCTTTTATGATGATTTTTCTCTCCTTTGTTTCCCTTGATAAAACCTTTAACATCCTCATTGGTTACAGTGACACCGAAGACAATCGTGGTAGACGAGGAGGAAGATCATATGGCTCTGACTTCGCTGTTATCTTTCATCCGACTGATTTGTTCTGGTAATTTCTTGATATCCAACAGAAAATTGAACTGTTCTCTCAAATGAATGAATGTATTTCAGAAACATGTTCACCAGAAACAAGATCTTTCTACTTGGATACACATGCAGATGCATGTATTTAGTTCTTACTGTAGTCTCTAATATGTATGAGAGTACTATGTGCAGGTACTGGGATATAAATTACTACCGGAGGCGGCAGATGAAGAAAGATGGTGGAATGAACTTTGTTGAATCTGTAATAAGAAAGGGTTGATTGATTTGTTCATGCCCTGAGCATCTCCAAGTTGTTTGTCTGTTACAGGTGCTGTACATAATCTTATTTATTTTTGTAGGTTTTCTCATTTGTATTTGGTGATGGGGATCCAAATCAAGGACTTGAAGAAGAGAGGTGGAAGCTGGTAATTTTATTACACTTACTGTTTCCATCTGTGTCATGAGCTTACCCTCTACATACATTTTTATTCTTTTGACTAGTGTTTGATCTAACCAAGTTAGCACAGATTTATGACATAAACAAGTACATGATGAATCTAACAAGCAGGATAATTCTCAGTTCCTTAAAAATATAGGCTGCAAATTGTCTGAGCAATAAAATATTTTTAAATATTTGCTTAGCATCCATCTGGAATAGTCTGAAAAAATGCCCTGGTCCGGTTTTTCTTTATGTATTAGTAGATGATGTCTTCAGTGAGACACTTTTTTATTTGAAAAGTAGAATAATTTACCTGGAATATTCTAGTTTATGATGACAATTGTTTGTGTTTTATGCTTTTTGTTCTGCTGATCTAATAATCAAAGAGGCTGTTTCACATAATCTCTGTTATTGGCCAGATAGGACAATATATTTCCTCAAATGGTGGTGTTGTTGCAGCGGAAGAACTCGCTCCATATCTTGATGTACCACCTATTGAAGAAACACAGGTATTCTTTTTAGCTTATATAGTTTTTTCTCTTTGCAAAGGAGAATAAGGTGTTAGAAACCTAAGGTTGGTCATGCTGTTGTGTATATGAATATGATAATAGTTGTTCTTGGGTGATCTTTCGATAAAAAAGCAAGAATATTTGCAATTACCTAGTCATGATTTTATCGTTACCAATTTGGACTGGAATCCTGGAATATTTTAACAGGTTGTATGCTCTTTACTTCTGTTACGCACATGTACATATATATCAATTTGTTTTTTTATTTTCATTGTATAGTTGCTTATTAGATATTTATATGGTAAGCAATAATCTCTGAGGATTTTGTGTTGTGTTTGTGATCAACTGAACCATTGTGGTGTGGGTGCTTTCATGCCAATTAATTGTTTCTTAATCACTTGTGAATGACAGGATGATGAATCATTTGTCCTACCTGTACTCTTGCGGTTTCAGGGGTATCCAGAAGTGGATGACCAGGTCTTTGATCTTGCATTTCTTTTTCATTGTTATATAGTTATAAGATGCCCCTGAAATTTTTAGTTGATTTAATGAAACAGGTAAATATAATGATCAAACTATGCAAATGGTTCTCTTCTGGTCGTTAGTTTCTTGATTATACTTGCACAGTGCCTGGCCTACATATTGTTAGTGCAGAAGATGTTCTTTTTTGAAACTCGGGGAGGTGGTTCCATGAAACTTTGGTGCTGATGAAAGAAAATAGTAATCTTTGCATTTGAACTTTTAAAAAAAAATTCTCAAATTTTCAGATCAAATGCTTCCAATTGAATGGCTTTAGATATTGTTTCTTGTAAGAAATAATTATTAGGTTTATTGAAGCGCTAAGCCTGTTCATCTTTGCTAGTTGGGCGAGGTAAGTGAGCCATCTGAATTGAGCTTAAGCTACTTTAGAGGGCTTCCATCTGATATAACATATCAAAATAGCAAATGGCCCATGGGAGAACAAACAAATTATTTGGTGAGAACATTAATCTAAATATTTGGTGAGAATGTTAATCAACAGCAACATTCCATAAATTGGAAAGAATATTGGCAAACCTTGTGGAAAGTGCATATATGCACTATCGTAAGAGTTAAGTAACCCCTCACATGTTGCCTTGTTTTACTACCAAGTTCCAATGCCACAAGCTTATCCTCATTGCCTCACTAGTAGCCCGGTCATGGATTGGGCACCTTTCTCCTCCTTGAAGTGTAGCCAATCTGCTTGATTGGAACAAAATGATTAACGTGTAGAAAAGAAAGACCTAAAATTTCATGTAGCTAGAAGAGGTGAAATGATTAATGTTAGTGGTACGATGTGAGGTAGAGGAAGACCTAAAAAGATTTTAATAGGAACTACAAATAAAGATTTAAGCACTCTGGATTTAATTAAACATATGATTTTTTACGGAATTCAATGGCGACAAAAGATCCATGTAGCTAATCCCAAATAGTCGGGGCATACGAATTTGTTGTTGTTGTGTAGAAAAGAAAGAATGTGATGGAAAATCCACAAGAGATATTAGAGATTTTAGTTCTCTTGGTGTAGTGAAGGAGAAGAAGAGCTGAAGTAGATCTCTCCTACAGGGAAAAGATTTCTCATTTGCAGGAGGGAGGGTGATCATGAAAGATTTTCTCACGCACTTCAGATATAGGAGAAAACTCTCCCTTTATTAAGAGAGAGTGGAGAAAACATTGGGAGCAAGCTATCCCTACCACTCATGAATCTCTCAATCTGCAGTTACCCAAAAGAATAAAGCACACATGACAAAGCACCAAGGCGAGATTTTTAAAGGTTTTAAAGTTCATAAACTTTTAAATAAAAAAGAGGTCTAAAGACAATACTGCTGTTTTTTAAGAATCTTGGTTTTGATAATCACAGGCAACTTGGAATATTTGTAATAGTGTAATACAAGATATATGTATTGTTAGGAGAATCATCATATCTTGCTTTGGTTGTTTGAATGAGAAGAATAATACAAAGTTGTTACTTGTTTTTGGAGTCTATTCTTCACTAATATGTATACTACTTGAGCAGGGCAACATACTTTATCGGTTTCCATCATTGCAACGAACTGCTTCATCTCAAAGAGCTGGTAGAAAGGAGTATGTTGGCAAAAGGTGGACTGAGTGGGTTAATGGTGTTGAGAAATATTTTGAGGAGAAGAAGTGGCTATTCAGGTCTGCATTCTTATGTAAAATTGCAATAGGTTTTCATTTCAGTTATGGCATCAATACCAAGTTGTATTCCATGTCTTTAAGTTGATTGCTTGGTTTCTATGCCTCTATATCTTATGATGTCTTTTAATTCATTAAATATTGATATTATGCATGCCAAACTGTTTTCATGGGAACATGGATTCAATGCTCACATAGGTGCATGTGCCAGGTATACCAGTGAAATTAGGAAATTATAGCATTTTTCATTCTTGGTCTTGTTATGCATTCTCTGCTACAAAACAATTGCCAAACAACTTTTATTCCCGTGGTTAAATTGGCATTAATTTATAAAATTACTCCTCGAATCTTGCTTTCGGTTCTTAACTTCTTTTTAGCTATTTGCTTACAGTTAATTATACCTGGACCTTTTCAATGTGGGTATAAGAATAATCTCTGTCCTTCAGCATGGCTTTTCACTTAGCAAGATTGTATTTTCTTATAAGGTTAGTCTTTGTTTTTGCAGTAAAACAGGGGCTTCAGAGAAAGCAATGGTTATAGGTTTGGGAGCACTTAATTTTTTTGGAATCATTGTCCTTGGTAGCATGCTAAAGTACCAAATCTTATCATTTTTCTGATATGTCCTTTCATTATCACATGTATTTACTTAATTGACACTTCATTTCTGTATTTGAAGGGAAATATCTGTTGCGCCTGGTGGACTGGTTTCTTTTGTTTCCCAGTTATTTCCTCTACTACAGGTCCCCCTTGTTTTCTGAACTGATAAATCTTTATCTCGTTAACTTGCTTTAAGTTTTGCATTCATGCTATAAACTTATGTGTAGAGGATTTATTAGTCATAAACAGGGTTCCAAATGCTGGTCCAACACCAGTTTTGACAACCTGTAGAGCTGGTGCGATAAAAAGATACTAAGTGGTAGACCAAGATGCACTGTCAGGTTTCTCAGGTTTTCCTGAAAAAGAAATAATAAAAGAAAATGAGCAGTATACCAAATGATATGGTCTGTTACTTGTGATTTGTCAGACTTGTAAAAAATGGATGGACCAGTATTTAAAAGAAATGGTCATATGAGTGTGACATTGGATCTATATGCTCCAGGTTCTGGTAGAAAATTAGTGTTTATATTGTAAGCACCACATGAAGCAGTGGTTTATTTTTGTTACAATTATCAACTTTTTTTCCCAGTTACAATTATCTAACTTGATATTGGATTTATCGGTTTGTTACTGGTCTTTCACAATTCACAGTTACCATGCAATCAGTAGGTGTTTTGAATCACTGGTTCTTTGTTCTAATTCATTGAATCTGGTGTTTCAGACTAGTGAGTTCATCTCATGAGCTTGGAAAAAAAATATAGTAGTTATAAAAAAGCAAATTGACCATTGACCGTGACATCTGATAACTGGTCAGATCAGGTCAACCGGTTGACTGTCTGTGAGAGAGTTAAAGATGAAACAGAAGATGTCTACTGTTAAACAATCAAATGTGAATTAAAATAACAATTGACTTTGTGTTTCTCTATAACTTACAATTAAAATCAGATAAGAAATTTAAAATCCAGTGAAATTAAATAGATTTAGATCGATGTGATGAAGTCACCACATAGCTACTGTTAAGTGTTAAACAATTACAAATGTCATAGTTATTTGATCATTTCTAGTTTGGTATTAAATCATCTTGAAATTTTCATTTGATACAGCTGTCTTTGCCTGGTAACATTCATTTATCTTGTACTTCACTTGTCATGTCATATTTGTAATAATATCTTGTCTCTGCATTATTTCACTTGCTGATGTAGGATATTTCTTTGCAGATATATGCTTCATCTTTTTTCGCAATACCTTTATTTAGATGGTTCCTGCTGCTGAAGACTAACAAAGATATTGAGAAGAGGAACGGAGCCAGGAAACAGCGAGCTCAGATACTTGATTTGCCAGATCCATCTTTAAGAAGAAAGGTAATAATAAATTAGAGATTCTTCTTTCAAATTTCATTTGTGGATAGTTTACTCACATGCACCTTTTTTCCTTCTGGATTCAGCAACCTTTGTAAGTGTCTTTCATGATTGTGTAAAAATGGCTGTCTGAACTCTTGAGTGACCAATTTGATTATTCTCCTTTCTCAAGCCTATGAGACATTCAGGTCCTTTGATAGTTGAATCTTAAGTAATAGAAGTACAAGATAATCAAACCAATTATTTCCTTTCTTATGATGGAATAGGAAAGCAGGGGGGAGTGGGAGGTAAGAAAGGAATTTGATTTGAACTTTTTCTAGCAATTGCTTTTATCAAATTGGCAGTATTCACCCAATGCATTGTAATTTATTGAGTTGTTGGGTGAGGTGGTGAGGTCAGTCCGCTGCTGCTAGGGAGGAGGCCATACTTTTTTTTCGTTTTATTTTTGTGTGTTTCTTCTAAAGGGACCATGATTTCCCATAGTGGACTAGTGGATCCCAATCAAGATTGACTTATGATAATAGGATTGCGTATTTTTTGGAATCTTGTTATATTAAAATTTGATAAGAATACCCCACATGAGTAATAGTGCTCTCTATGGCACCAGTTACTACAGCAAGATATGCTAGTTTCTGCTTCTCGTGTCCATCTTAGGACAGCCTGTGGACCGCTTTAGTAATAATAGAGGATGAAGCTTTTGGTAATAATCGAGCAACCTTTTGTGGCTCTTTTAAAGCTTATGTTAAATTATGCTACATTTGTCATATATGTATATGCTCATGTTTCAACCTTTGTAACATATCTTGCTTAAATGTTCAGTTGCTGAATGCTCGAGATATGGCACGGCGAACGGTAATAAGTTCAGACAGGATAGTCTATACTACCGAGAAGGATTTCTTGGACCAAGATTATGAGACTAGAGATTGGGACGAGAGATTTAGAGAACTTGAAAAATGAGACTGACGAAGCAAGAGATTGTTTCCGCTTGATTCTGTATATTGCAGCATGTTCTTGTTGCTGTTCTTTCTCCACCTAGGAAGACTGCAATTACTCTCGGCATTGCCAGTTAAATTAATTGTCAACATGAAATTGAAGCTTACCCTGCAACAGGCCTTCCCTCTGTTTCTCTCATTCCAGTGGGGATGGCTTTTAATTTGGAAATTTGTTCATAGCTTTACAATGTATGTTGCAACTTCCAATTGATGCTGCATCACTTTTTTACCGCAAAATACATTTGTATATATTGTTAATCAGATGCTAAAGCAATATTCATATCCAAAAGCTTATAGTTTGTTGTCTCTTAGATTTAAGATGAGATGTGCATGGATATGCCAAAATGTGAGCTCAATATTTATACTCAGGCTATTACTTCGGCTGGGCATCATGTGTATATACTCATGTAATGTTTTCTTCGCCGCCGTCCATGTCGATCTCTGCATTCTTATGAATGAAGAAACTAACAGGAATTTGGTTACTTTGACCACAGGCACCATACAAGTAAACAATCATCAATCAGTTTGATCACAGGTTAGTATTCTTACACAACTTTTCGCTAAATGTTCTTTTCTTACAGATCAAATGGGCAGCTAATTTTACGTGATGTTCTCTCTTTTTTATTGCCAACAAAGAATGTTTGGTGGTGTTTTCTTCCATCCCGGACCCACCGAACCTGCACAAAGGATCTGCCAAACCTGTACAGACAATGCCAGCTCGAAGTGTAAGATCGAATCTGAAAGTAAAACCAAATCAAGAACCAAGTGCTTTGATGATCTCAGCCCACATTACCTGAAACCATCAGCTCCCCCCGGGTGGCAATCTCCTCGGCCATTACCGCCCCATCCACTTCGGCCCGCCGCTTACAGAAGCAGCTACTTCCAGGCCAAGGTCAAAGCTGCCACCACGAACACGAAAGCTCTCAAACCAGGCATCATCATCTGCAGGAGAGGAATGCTTACATCAAAAGTCATGATCTTACATGGAATCAGAGGACACGGATCACTCACCGCCGACCTCAAAGACGACGACGACGACGCCGACATGGGTGGAAGATACCCATGCAGACCAACATTATAAACAGGAGTGCCATCAGGATAAAACAACCCATAGTTCCTCTCCGAGGTCGGCCCAGGCTTCAAATCCTCATTGAACAGGGCAAACACATATATATCCACCGGCACCGTCGGCTTCAGAGGAGTGCCCTCGCTCATCCGTATCCTCTGCAGCAGATTACCATTATATCTTGCAGCATTCTCCGGTGTCGCTCCCACCTCATCACTGTCACCCCTCGATGGCCACCCCGTCTCAGAAATCCTGACCTCGATGTCGGCGTGCCCCCACGTCCTGATGGCAGAGTAAACCGCGTCGATCTGAGCGTACAGCATGTTGTCATAGTTCAGATTGGTGTTGGGATCCACGACTCCCGAGTTCGGCTCGAAGAGGACGTAGTCCAGCGAGACTGCATTAGGGTTCGCCTTGTAGGCGAAGTAAGGGTAGGCGTTGATGAGAAAGGGCGACTTGGTGACGGAGTGGAAGTTAAGGATGGGCTGGATGAAGACGGCGAGATCCTGGCGGAAGGAGCCGGCGGAGGGAGGGTAGGAGTTCCCCAACATGTCCAATGAGTGGGCGCTGGTGACGTTCACCTTCGTCTCCAGGCTGAGCGAGACCAGTCCCTGGTGAACCGATTCCATGGCCGGGAGGAGGTCGGCCATCAGAGTGGTGTCGTTGCCTTTGAACACCTCGTTGCCAACGGCGATGCAGGTGATCTTGGTGTAGGGGAGGTAGGGCAAGACGTGCTGCTCCAGCCATCCCAGGGCGGCCGCGGGGTCCGTCATCGCCGACACGTTCTCGTTGCCGATCCCGATCACGAACTCGACGTCGGTGTTGAGGAAGGCGCTGAGCACGTTCTGGTCCGCGTCGTACAGTTTCACTCGGCTGATGTTGAGGGAGTGGAGGAGGCTCGCGACTCGACCGGGGGACGGCAGGTCGTTCGCGATCTGCCCGTAGTTGATGCCCACCGCCATGCTCAGAACTACTCGGATGACTTGACCTGTAAAGACGAAGAAGAAGCCAACAACTGCTAATTATCTCATGTGTTCAATTATATTTTAGTACTAGATTCGATCTGCAACGAATACCCGATTAACTACCGAGGGAAGAGCTAAAAATAGGACGCATATAACACCCATATCCAACTGAATCCCGTTGTTTGGATCTACAGAGAGGCCACCGAGCATTTGGTGTAAGTACTAAAAGCCGACTTTGCCAACCTGGTCCACACAAGCCTACACTCGCCGGCACACACGAAGCCATGTGGTTTTGTCTACTCCACCACTAAACTAATCTCCTTTAGCACCAAATCTAGCACCAAAAAAATGTGTCCTTTTTTGCCTCTCTTTCATTTCAACAGGAATATGGGGTTGGAAACTAACTATGTGCAAGATCAAAGAATCAGAGAATTCTTCACGAAAAGTCATCTTCTCATCCTTATTGTTGCACCTCTTTTATCTAAGCCAAGACTAAAGGGATGTCACCAAATGCTCGCTGTAACGAATCTGAAAACATGAAAGAAGGGTAGAGAGGGTGGATCAAATACTAACCTGAGAAGAGGAGGAGGAGGAGGAGGACGTGGAAGCAGGAGCTCGGCGACGCCATTACCGTCCTCGCCGTCGACTTGCTGTTGTTCCCTTGGATTCGAATATGTTGGACGGATCCGAAAACTCGATCGCTTTGCCAACTCCTCCTCGCCGCTGCCGCTGCTACTACCAGTCGCTGCTGCGCTCCACCACCCTCTCGCCATGCCCTCGACCGCTTAAAAGCATGTTGTGGGGACAGGGAAATGTGGCTCCTGTGGTCTGGGAATCCGAGAGCGACACGTATCATCCTTGGGCAATAGCGTGGTTCGGCGATTTCTCGCAGTGATTCGGGGGCAAATTAGTCATTTAAACCCGCGCCGCGTCACCGCAACGTATCGGTGGCACAGCGTTGACGCGTCTCCACGTAGACACCGCGCGTACCGCTGCCGAGTGCACGCGGACGACCCGAAGGTCCTCCGAAGCTCCACGCTGAAGAACCTGGTTATTCCTTGGGACCCACAATGGTTGATCCAATCAGCTCAAGCTTCCGAGGTGGGTGCCGCGCCATGGGGGACAGGACCTGGCGCTCCAAATTTTCTTCTGACTTCCGGCACCAAAGTCTCACTCCAGGGCCCACGATGATGTCTCTCGGGCCTTCTTGGGCCCCGCGTCCGGGTGCGCCACCACTGTCAACCCACAAAAAGACGTATTAACACTAATAGAATGACTGCTACCACTGTGTTGGCCAACATCGTTAATGTGGCTGGTAATAAGAAATTTGCTGAGCCTTTACGTGATATTTATGTTTAGGGGGTTCTTTAGAGATAAGAAAGAGACCGACGTCAACACCACGAAGCCTTTCCACTTCGGGCCCTCGGTGGCCTTCGCTTCTCATCTTATTCCCCCATCCCTTTCCCTTCCTTGACTTTATGATGTCTTGTGGCTGCAATCTTTGCATCTCATCACGTAACAGTCCTGCATTTTATACCGCAAAGACCATATCAATAAAGGGAACAAATATGAAAATGAGAATAAAGCTGCACCAACTGGCTCTGAAGAACTCTAAACCTGGGAAGTGCTATGGGACGAAAAGAGTCTTGTCTATACCGCAGCACAACAGCTCATGTTTATCTCGGTTCACGACCCTTATCGTCTCCCTCTTTAAGATCGTAGGGATGTCGATCTTGCGTCACGTTAAACAACAGGAACAAAAAGCATGCAAGAGAACCACTGCGCTCACCTGGTCCCTTCTTTCCCCCTATCATGCTTATTATAATCTTCCACCTGCGGCAGCTTTATTCCCAACTGTATCCGCTTGCTTGTACAAAGGGCTCCAATTATTGGATTCTGTGATGCCTTCTTTCGGTGAATGTGATCAATATTCTTCAAGGATGAACATGCGACAGCTCGGACATATCCCAAATGCCTGTGGAACCAAGATGCATATACCATGACATAACTAGTTATTGCATCATATGAACATGTAGCATTCAACATTTCTCATCTAGCGCATTCTAAAGAGGAGAAATTAAATGGAAGAGGTTGATTCACAAAACTAACCAGTCACTTTCCGCTGCAGATATGCTAAAGCACCATTGGCACATGCAGAGTGATCCATGGAGCTCCATTTCCCTGTGTGTAAATGACAGTAGGAGGTCGGATATGAGATGCATGTCAGCACATGTCCCAGTCTGTGTTCCATCGAGGAAGGAACCATTGGACTGGTCAACGGAACCTGAGACCGTGAAGCCTGGACATGCAGAACAAGCTCCAAAATGGAAAGTGTCAGGGATCTCCAAGCCTTCCAGCTTCAGCAGAATCCAGGATATAACCATCATGTGGTGGGATGATCTTGAGCCCTTTTTCCCTCTGGTCCAATGTGGTTCACCTTGTAAACATCCACTGGAGATGCTTGAAGGAGTTTGATGACCGGTGTGTGAAAGATTTTGAGATGCTTTTCAAGCAACAGAAAGATGAAGACCTCATGAACACCCTAGCGGAGCTAAAATTCTTTCTAATGTTGCTTCCAGATGTGTAAATCTGCAATAGATTTGTACTTAGTACTGTTGCTATCGGCCTTGCGTAGGGCATGCAGCCTGAAAATGAAAGCATAATCATCATAGAACAACTGATCAAAGTTAAACAAGCAAAATACTTCAGCTGAAGCATACCACAAGCAATTGATATTTAAACATCATTGCTTAATATTATAATTTTTATAAGCTAAAAGGGAAATTGGAATAACCTAGAAAAAGCACTGTGGATGCATAGTCACCATGGCATCACACACATCCAAAACTGTCAATCATTAGAAGCATTCCGGTGACATCATTCTTTCGTTTGCTTTCCCAAAAGTGTGCTATGCTCTTACTCGACTATTGGCTTATGTATCTCATTTTACTGAAATATAACAATAAGCAGTAAAGATTTGTAGGTTCTTCCATCATTTCAGTTTTTATGGTCACCGCATGCAAGAAAAGGCCAAGCTTATATTAGTTACTAGTATTTGGAAGTAGTCAATCTTCAATTCACTCGGGTATCAGAAATAGTTTCAGTGACGAGTTAAACTTAACTGATAGGTAGAAGTCACAATAGAAATGGGACCAACAAAAGTGGTAAAGGAGACAAAGAGAGCATGAAAATTATGAGATGACATTCTCTTTAGGCAATAATATCACTCCCAAATTAACATCAAAAAACATCTTCATAAGAATGTCCGAAAGAAAAAATATATATGTAAAAATTATACAGCAGACCCATGTTTTGGGTCATCACAGCCTTTTGAACTTCATCTGGAACCATGTTCTTATGAAAATTGCAATTGCAGCAGCAACATGTATAAGAAATCAGTTCCGGTCTTAAATATCCCAACAGTTAGGGTCGGCTACCTAGATTTTTTCCCATAATTTAACTTTACCTGTGCATTTTTATTGTTAAGTCTTTTACATTGCCAATCCCAACCTGAATAGAGAAGGAAGGTAGTGTTCAGCAGACAACCAAGATAAATTAGATCTTATGAACATAAACACTATATCAAAGTATGAGCAGCTAAAATTACTTTTAAGTCTATCAGTAAGGCAGAGGAGACAATATATTGAACGCTAATATCAAGGAAAGCACGACACAAATGGAAGACAGATAATAATGAATTTTACTATGTGTGACCTACTTTCTTGTTAGAATTCCAACGAATTTTAGTATGAGGGAATCAGAGAAATGCTACTTAGTGTATACATTACCTTGTGTGCCCTTTTCAGTCCCTCTATTTCTTGCAATCAAAATGCTATTCTAGGTGCAAAACCAATTAGAATTTTATCGTTGAAGGTATTGATGGAGAAAGTTCTTGAACACTAAGATCATAAAATGTAACAAGAGTTTTCTCAAATCATGGGATGTTACAAGTACCAAGATCAATGATATTGCTGCACATGAGTTTCTAAATATTTGGAATTGTGATTTTTCTTTAGGGTCATTTCTCAAAAACAGTAAAAAGAACCAATGAGTTCAAGTTTTCAATCAAAAACTTGAGTGCAAAATTTGATGTAAAAGAAAATAAGACCACAAAATTTCATGATTTATGGTAAATCAGTAGTATTCTCGGTTGAATGGATCCAAAAGCAATGGGTGGTAATTACAATTAGCTTCAAGTCAATTAAGCATCCTTCCCGTATTAGAACCAAGCCAAACCTACTCAATTCATTCAAGCGAAATAATACTGTTGACATCAGCGTTGACAGGCACACAATTCAGATGGCCAACCACTTTGAGGAAACATTTGGTAGATGAAACACCATACTCATAGAGGCCCATATCAAGTAGAAGAACAAGGACAAATGTTCTAGTCACTTTCTATCCAACCAAAGAGCATATGAAGGCAAAAGATAAATAGGATGATTTACAGCGATCAATCAGGGAGAACATTTCAACGACAGGGAAAAGACCATCCAATTTGCACATCAAGAAACTACAGGATCAAACGGAGACGAACGACGCGAGAGATTACCGAGCGATGGGAGTTTAGATCAGCTACATTCGTTGAAGGAATCGGAACTTTGGCTGATTTGGAGCGGCAGAGGTGATCATCGAAAGGGGAGGAAAGAGTGCCAGGCATTGCCGCAGTGGACGCCGACGAAACGGCAGGTTTTAGGGCTCGGGCTGCGTTCTCAAATCCGACGATTAAAATGGATTGGTGGCCACATAACTATTTGGGCTGTTAATGGGCCATGTTAGAATTGGGGCTAAGAGGACGATTCTTCCATTGTTATGAGTCTGCAGTTTTACCCCACTATTAGAATTACTATATATTTCTTTTTTTTAATTTTACCCATGAAATTATAAGATTGGAACTGAATGGTTCTTTATGTAAGTAATTTTGATCTTGTAATCGTTTTTTTATATATTTTTTACCAATTTAAAATTTTATTGTGTTGATTGGATCGGCCCATCGAACAAAAATAATAATAATAATAATAATAATAAACTAAACCACCAATCTATTTAATATTTATATTTATAAAAAAAACATTTAAGATTTTTTAAAGAGTGTTTGGGTCTTTTTATTATAAGTATGCAAGAACAACTGCATCATCCATTCAAAAATGCAAAATGTTCAATCCATATCATTGTCTTTCATAATATTTTAAAGTTTATTTTTTTATTTTGTATTCCATAAAATAATGTTTTGACCAAATATTAAGAATCACAATAAGTGTGTTAGCTTGTATACACTTTTATTTTTTTTAATTAAGAATAATACACTAACCATTTAGATGTATCAACAAATACTATATAGTAGTAGCTGCAATTACAAAATCACAAGTAACTTCAACCAAAATACACACACAAGTCAAACCAAATAGATAGATTTGGACAATGCTATTTAAAATTTCCTGGATCCAACCACCCTGGAATAACATTTTACAAACAAGTTCTCATGCAACGCCACAAAACCTAAAAATCATTTGGATTCTCATTGGAGCAAAACGAGACACAACAGTAGTTTAAAGCTCAAAAACACATTATCACTGAACTGAATTTATTCAGAGACCAACATAAGATGTTTCTAGAAGCTGTAGAACATGACATAAGCTCCTAGACGATAATAAAATAGAATTGTGGCTCGACACATCATTCTGATTGCCTTTGACCCAGTACTGGAATATCCTCATATTTTTTCTGCAGTGGAAAAAAAGGCACAATCAGCATTATTGTTTCTAGAATTAACACGCCAACTAATAATGTTATCAACCTGATTTTGATTTCCAAGTCAAAAGACAAAAAAAAAAAAAAGTGTTCCATGATCCACTACCAGACTAATATTTCACTCCACCAGGTTGTAGAGGACACTCTAGAACAGAGGTACCTGACTAATAGGCAAAAAGAAAAAAAAAATTCTATTAATCCACCTGAGGGCAATCCACCACTTCTTTGGAAGTTACACCTCAGCTATGAGCTAATGTTATACGAAAAAATTGTATTGATTACCATATTTCTTCTCTTTATAATAAACTTACATTCCTATTGAAGAAACAATCACAAAACTCAATAGAAACATAAAGCTAGGTTATCATTTCTAAGGTGGTTGTTGGCCTTGCGGCTGTTATAGTTACCTTTTGAATGACCAATTTATAACAAATCATAACTTGTGTAAGATTAGAGGTACATATACTAAGAGGAACAAACCTAATTGGAAGAACAAAACTACACAAGTTAAAGAGCAGAAAGTAGAAATTTTCAACTACTTGATGTCAAAGAATTTTACAAAATCACATGACTGCCTATCAACTTAATGTCAACCCTCTAAAAGGGTTGGCCTGTGCTTGGCAGAACAGGTACTTGCCTGAAATGATAATCAATTAGTTGGTGGGTCAAAAAGCCTATATTACTACATGCAATTATGCTCATGCAGACAATACAAAAGAGAAAAAGCCTTAAAACCTTTATTCCATATCAACCTATAGGAAAAGCTCCTAATAAGACAAAATGAATCATATTAATATACTTTTTTTTTAAGGCAGTCTAAAAAAAGTACCAGATAAGCAAACAGCTTTAACATGATCCGCCGTATAATTTCATTGTTTGGCAGTTGATTAGCTCAATAAGAACCAACACAAAAATGCTTCATTACATGAAGGAAAACAAATGATCATTTTGTCATGTCTGTCCTAAACCTTTGCAATAAACTTTAGGATGTTTCTCAAAGTCAAGAATCAGAATATACTTAGCCCATCTCTAACCACCATATATGAAACAGGATCAACAACAATAAGCCACGATCCACTTGACAGATATTAAACTAGTATGCCCTTCTAAATTTGATTCTTCCTACATTATTGCACCATGCAATAGCACATACAATTAGATTCTTCTATTTCCTCTAAATTTGATTTTTGAACATCTCCAGATTTAGTGACTTCTACATCCAGTGGTGTTACTTTCCTTAAGCCTCTTCAATAGTTTCTCAAATTCCTAGCAGATATTATAAGGTACTGAAGTTTTCCAATATAAACTGCAATCTAGAAATCCAAAATAGAACTCCTTGATTCAAATATATAGAATTATTTTTCACTTCGAGATCATATTCTTTCCATCCAATAAGCACAGTATCAGGTTTCTTAATCTATGTCTATCACATTATTCTCAAAATCTGTTATTTTTCTCATGCACCTCTCTGTCTCATTTCCACTTTATATTTAGATTATCCTGACTGAATAGTTCGTAAACTGAATATTGCACTCTTTCCAGAAATATCATCGTGATGTGAGTTATCTCAATGTTCAGTCACTACGATATACATATTCCCTATGACACTGTAATACCCATCTCAATCATTAGTCCCTCTAAACACATCAGCTTACATATGTACCAGAGATCATGTCTGATCATTGTACACAGAAAAGAAGTTTCATGTATCGAAATAGGTTTCACAATAATTAATACAACCACCGTTCCTCGCAATGCCAACTATTTGAATATCACGTATATAACTGTATAGGTAGAACACAATGGATAAACAACAACAAGAAAAGTAGTCACTCAAGATGCATGGTTCTGAAACATTACCCCTTCATTATTATAATCCCACAGCTTGTGAACACCATAGTCGACGATCTGCATACAATAATCAGTTTGTGAGTACAGCGAAGGTATTCAAGGTGTCTCCTACCGTAAAAAGAAGAACAAAATATCAATCACCATAAACAACAAAACTCAAGCAAAGCCATATCAACTCTGGTTAATCACTATATAGTCAGTCACTGATCATCATAGACCCATTCAAAAAAGAAAAAAATCTCTTTTAATTCCCAACAAAATCCTTTTTAATCTTTCTGCCCAAGAAAATGAATCAAATAAGCATGATGATGTCAGTTCACGCTGTCGGTGATCCCATTGCCTTCCCACCTTTTTTTTCTGCGAAGCTTTCACTGGCTTTCATGATCAACCACAAGTGCATAAATTGAATCAAACAGAAAAAGAGAAATCCATGGCTCTGATTGCTCTGGCGAACTACCGTAATAGAGAATATAGTAATTGGGAACAACCAACAGCAAGCGTGACAACGCAAAATAGCATCTAAACCAAGATCAATCGAGCCTCGAGATCAGAACCAGATGTGTAGACCCTAACCATCCTCGATCGAGCAGAAATTAAATAGGAAAAACTCAAAAAGATCGAAGCCCTAGCACAAATCACAGATTATACAGCAGGTTGAGGAAGGGGAACAAACCCGTTCTCCGACGAAGGCGCCGGCAACGACGAAGGTGACATAGACGGAGTTCCGGCGCATGAGAACACGGTAAAGCCCCTCCCAAACGCCGCCTCCACGGCCTCTCCTCGCCGTCGTCGCATCCATGGCTAATCGAAAGAACCCAAATACGATCGTGCAAGACTTCTCCTCAATCGCGCAAGACTTCCTCGGCTTCGCCCCCCTTTTAAACTTTCTTTTATGACTCTTTGTCATATTAGTCCTATAATTTTCTATGAATTCTCACATAAGCCCCCAGATGACTTCCTTCGGTTCTTTCTGACCCTTATTTTGGCTATCTTTCATATTAATACCACGCTTTTCTACATTCTCACAAGGAACCTCCACAGCGTATAATTGTTTGCACAATCGATCACTTAGTTGTCTCAGCGAAGATATCATTACAGAAAATACCACCATTAATCTTACAACACAACTAAATGTCTCGATGCACACTTGCAGCAAAACACCATGTCGAGATCTCTGCTACTACTCAAGCAACAAACGCATATGTAATGAATACTGGACTCTTTCCAATGATGCCATTAAACAAAGAGACTATCTGACTACGTAATCACCCTCATGCTCTTTGTTCTTCATTCAGCACGATAGCGAGGGGGAGATCGAAGGAGAGGCATTTGCTCGGAACAAAGGGGAAGAAGACGATGATCGAACAAAACAATCAAACACTTAGCATGGATTCTTTATCCTCCGCGAGCCTGAGCTCGTCCGACGGCACTCCTCGACCAAAGCTTCCCTGGCTGACACCAAGCCCTTGGGGACGAGCGGCCGGTCGAAGACCGAGCTATCAATCCAATCCTTGAGCAGGCTTTCCTGGCCCCATATCTCCGGTATCCAGACCCGGCCGGCCATCTCGGTCCTGTGCCGCTTCAGCCTTTCTCGCCCGCTCTCTTCGACCACGCCCGAGTTGGTGCACTCCTTGGTGATCTCCGCCGTGACATGCTCGTTTGTCGAGGAGCCGACGTTTGGCTCCGAGTTCTTCATCTCAGGATCGTCGGATGATACCACCAGCTCGCGGCGGGGTCCTGCGTCTTGCGTACGATCTGGTTTCGGTGGATCCGCTGGAACCATGGAAGCCAAGGTGTCTTCTTAGTTCCTCCTCCCCCTCGTGAATGCGAGGGGTTGGAGGAAGCTAAAAAGATCGGAGGGGGTGATCGAAGAACTAGTGGTTTGGTGGGGAGAACACGTCGTATGTTTGGTTCATATGACGGGCGGAAACTTAACGTGGTCATTTGATTGAGGTGTGTGGCTGCGTTCGACCGAGGAAGGGAAGGCAGGACGTGAGGCTGCTGCGGCATCAGCGGCTGTGTGAACCAACGGTGAGGAAGCGTTTAATCTGATATTTTTGTGGAATCATCACATCAGAGTTAAAGGTTCATGTGGGCCCTCGCATCAGCTGCATTACATTGGGGGGAGCATTAATGTGCACCCAATTTTGCATGGTTTGAGTCTGCAAAGAAAGAGAAGTCGAGTGGGGCTGCATTAATGTGCTTCTCAAAGCAAGTGTTAACAACATGTGAGTAATAACTACATTAGTTATAATTTTGCAAGTTCATACATAACGCAATATAAATTTTCTCACAACAATATAAATGCTGTAGCACCAAAATTGTCCTACATAATGCAATACAGACATCACCTCCTCTTGCTAAAGGTAGCAGATGGCAAAATCCTGTCATATACAATGCTTGATAGTAGCTTGCAAATGAATGAACTTAGTTTCAAGATGTCACTATTTTGCATAGACTAACAGTATAGTCACCAACAAATGAGAGGAAAAGAAAAAGAGACAACAATACCACTTTGAAATAATATACATTCTAGATAAATGCTCAATTGATTTTGTAATTTGGCACTATGAACAATCCTCAGGTGACAGAAAACAATTGGGATCTGCCAAGAACTGAAAAGGTATACAAAAGAATAGACTGGCCTAATTATAGATTCTAACTGCCAAGAGGTACATAATTTGATTTGTTAGGTATAAGAACAGGAGAACTCTTACCTGACCTAGATTGTTTGATATCCAGAGAAGGTATGATGGGCTCTCTTAAAAGTTCAATGTCAATTCTGAAAGGTCATCCATTGGAATTTCCAGGCCCACCAGATCATGATCTTGTAGTGAATCTTCATCAACGTTCAACCAGGAAGCAATATCCTGCCCTTGTCCGCCCAGCCCTTCAGCAACATCTAGTTCATCGATGGATTCTATCCCATGCAGAGGTAGGTTTGTAAAGATGGCATCATCATTTTCTTTTGACGAATCATGGACCAGATTATCCAAACTATGCAATTCAACTTCTTGATCAATTTTGGTGATAGAGCTATTCACAGTGTCAAAAGGTGCATGCAACGTTGGTGACATAAGATTGGCTGCCTCCGTAACTCTGCCAAGACCATTTCCAGAAGTTGATAACTGAGCTATCTTTTGCTTAGGTTTTGTCTTTGTCTTACGTTCACCCCTGCCACCGCTTGATGATGGACGACCCGCTTTAGCTGTAGAACTTCGTCCTAATGCATCTTTGTTCTGATCCCTGTCTCTTTCAGTCCTTTTCCATTTTGCACTATTTGAAAGAGAGTGCGTTGGACTTGATATGGCTCTAGTAGAACCTGTAACATCATCCAGAAGCACCTCCTTCTTCCTTCTCGTAACTAATTGCTCACCCATTTGAGGAGAACTTTGATATGGATCCAATGGACTTTGATCAATCTTGTTACCAAGCCCATGTCTCATGGAAGTATTCGATGTTACACCTGAAAGCCAAGTAGCAGAAGCTGCTTTACAGTTAAACAGATACAGGAACAAAAACCTCATAGTAGTATATGATGAAAATTCTTTGGCAATAACTAGGGCATCCATGGGACAGGTCCAGGTTGGGCTTTGTCAGACGACAGCTGGATGCAAGTTTTTTCTTGCGGCCCAAGAACTACTCAAAACTAGTAATATTAAGAGCCAAAGATCTAAATATATGCAGATAGATGAAATATATTTTCTAAAGGGCAAAAGCAAGTGCTCAAATGTACTTTTTACAATCATGAACTAATGATAGCAATACAAGTACCACATGAAAGTTATCCAAACGCAGACATCTGTTTGGATAATATGAAATCCATTAACATGGCACTATATATACCACCCCAGCTGGTCAGACCACATGCAATGTCCAATTCCCATTTTCAGATAGACCAAGAATTTCAGCCCTGGGCCAGACCACATGTTAAAAGCAGGGTTGGGCTAGCAAGCTAGCCAGCCCGCTGACACTAATAATAAAAAAATAACAAATAAATTGTCGTCTTGTTACACTGAGATTAATTAAACATGAAATGGGACAAAGAATTATATAAAAAATGTCATTTATACGACAAAGAATTATATAAAAAATGTCATTTATAGGAACATACTGCAGATGGATGTAAATCGATGCTTCTATAAGGAGACGCAATCAAATTATATACCTGATGCTCGAGTGCCAAGTTGACCGCTCCGTGATTCCACATGATTAAGAGACCTATCTGAATGTTTAATGTGTAAGGGCACTGACAAGACTGCATCCCGAATAGCTAGCTCACTGAAGCAGCTTCGACCTGTTTCGTCAAATCTCTTACATCTGGCTATTGTTCGCTTACCAAAGGCCAATGCTAATTGTTTTGAAACCTTAGTGGTGCCACTCTTATGACTTGAACTACCTCGACCACCCTGTAGAAAGGCAACAGGTCATAAGACATTTCAACTGAACACCAGATAACATAAAGAAATGCCCATGCACGGTTGATACTCATAAGCACCTCAATGACTATGGAGCTAATGGTTAGTATATCAATCATAAATATGTACATAAATCAGAAATAGCTAATGATATTAAAAGTGTACAGTGACTTCATTCTATAACTGCACTCTACAGCCAGCGAGATTGAGGGTTAATAACATAGATTGTTTAGTTATAGTATCCCAATATTTTCTTATTCAAACAACTTATGAACAATGACTTGGATCATGTGACAAGATTTTTATTGTTGCCATGATTAGGATGACCACTAAAATTGGTGATTATGACACTGCAAGGGCACAACAAAAGAGACTCTCTAACTCTAAACCATAGATCAACCTTAAGCTAAAAACTACATATGGTCATTTACCAGGACACTGTTAGAAGTAAAATGTTACAAAGGCACAAATCAATCAATATTATTACAAGTTGACAGTGATAAATTTGACTGTACATCACAAACATAAGCAGAGAACAAAAAATTAAAAAGAATTTTACCATGCTTCCAGAGGTAATAATCTAACAAGCAAACAAAAGGTTCCAATAACTTTGTATTCAGCTCCAACAGTAAACCATTTTGAGAACAGAGAACCCAACAGTATGACTTGACACTGAAGGACACCGCAGGTCAAGTAAAGATTCATGAATCCGAAGTTAGCACAAAATTACAAGAAAGAAGAGCAGAAGAGTTAGGAACCATACTGGAAAGTATAGAAAACTAACTGCAACTATCAGTTACTCTCCAAGGTGAAACTAAGATAGCATCCATGGTAATACCATATTTAAGAAGCAACTGGGACATTTCTTTAAAATAACAAATAAAGATGCAAATTGAGACTTGGCTATGAAGCAATCGGCTAAGCCTTAAACAGTGTCTGTCAACTTGGGCTTATATCAGGCAGATGGTAAAAGAGGAAGGAAAACGTGCATCAATTATTCAAGCAGAGAAATCCTTAGCAAAAAGCAGTAATTACCATTAGCCTTTTGCATGCCATCTCAACAAGTTTATTCACAGCAAGCTGCTCAAGTTTCCTGTCACTTCAATAATTGAAAAGGCTTTAGTCATGGTAGATAATGGAGCACTTGTAACTGATGAAATCCAAAGAGATCCCAGAAAACCATACCTCTCTTCAATTTCTTTCGCATCTCGAATTGCTCTTTCCAATTTATCTAATTGATGCTTCTTTTTCTTCACCTGTTAAAGCAGCTTAGCATTAGTATGATCACAAAGAGGTCAAGGTAATAACCACTAAAAAAACCAGAAGTTCATCCAACATTAGATTCTGATAAAAGCAACTAACAGTGACAAGCTTTTGAGACACAATAATATAATTTTGCACCTCATTACATGCAATGACAATGTATCAAATAGAATTTTCCTCAGTGAACTATGAGACTACTTATGAGGGGTGGTGACAAATAACACAAGTTTATATAATCTTGCAGGGCTAAAAGCTTAACAAGAGCCTATATCAACATTTATTATACCAATATCAGAACAGAAATATTCCAAACAAATAACCTGCTGGTAGAGCCTCATCTTTAGTTCTGAAATGACTTTGCCAATTTCTCCATCTTCACCCTCAGCAAGATCAGGCTGTAAGGAAATTTAAAACAGGAAACATCAGATATTTAAGCTTAAAGAAAAAAGATGCTTTTCAACTGCTATTATTTCAAATACAAAATTGTAAATGCATTGAAAGGCTGAGGGCACAAATTTATCAGAGTTATTACTTCACCTTTTTCAACAAAGGAAAGATGGGAAAATACTAAAATGTATAGAGAGAGAGAGAGAGAGAGAGAGAGAGAGAGAGACTTAGTCCATTGTTATTGACAACAATTATGTTTAATACAACTCCTTGATTTTGGTAGCAGAAAGCTTCCATATGAAGTACAACGCATAAACGCAACTTCATAATCTCTCTGAACTACTCCAGAAACCATGAAACTTGAGGATCATCCTTGGCTGCATGTCAAATAACATTTTGGCCACCTTGCTAGACTCACGGAACCCAAGTTTCAAGCTTATTGGAGTCAAGTGGGGTCCTCCAAGCCTGGATGGGGCAAGGTCAATTTTGGTGAATCCTATCACCCAGATGGGGAATATGGGGGCTGGGGGGCCTCCAAGTCTGGTATTGTTTGATTTGTGGGGCAAAGGTTAGTTTGGCTAATTCTTCTTTATAAGCTGAGGCTAAAGCAACACTTGATGGTGTCGCACAAGACAAAGAATAAAAGATTGATTAAGGAAATCAATTCTCAATTTTAAGGGAAAAGAAGCTGTTTCTTCAAGAATCTCTACGTTTGTGCATAATAAGAATCAGCTTGTTATCTTGAGCAAGTTGGAGGGCAGTGACCTAGCTGATTTTTCACTAACATGGTTTGAAGTACAACAAGAGGTCATTTTTTTCAGCAGACCTTCTGGGTTGCCTGATAAATTTGCTCAAT